ATTTTCAATTTTCTCTTTTTTAATTAGTTGCATGATAAATTGAAATTATTGAATTCAGAAGAAAAATTTCAATATTTTCAAAATGAATTGGTGAATTGTTGAGTTTCTTGTATAATTTTTTAAAGAATGGAAAGGATTTTCAGTTTGTAAAAAATAGGGCATTATATAAAAAAAAAGAATATGATCTAATAAAGATCGGAACGTTGGAACGATAAAGAAAATATTTTTCTAAACCCACATCACACCAGATCGCATCTCACAATCTATAAATAATCATTAACTAACAGTCACTAAACATCAAACATAAAAAAAAAAAAATGTTCATCACCAGGTTGGTTTAATTATTAAAATTTTAATAGCACAAGCACAGTCTCATGCAAAATTACCCTTTGTAACCATACCTAGTTTTACAATAAATTAATAAATAAAAGTAAAAATAAAAGGCCATCTTTTATACAAACTCAGATGTTTGAAGAAAAAAAAAAAAAAAGGTTCAGACTAATCTCCAGATGGGGCAGATTCATTTACTACAAAATCCAATGAAATTCAAAATATGATGACTCAATTAAAAAATGTACTGTGTATGATGACCTGAAAAAACAGTAAAATTTCCAGGATTCCGGAAACCCTGGAAATTCCACCAAGATTCTAGCTCGTAACGTAACGTAGCTCGTAGAGAGCCTTGAAGAGGGATCCATGCTCCAGGAAATCCATAGGCATTAGTAATATATAAATCGCAAGGCTGATATTAATACAGCTGTGGCCTAAAGCTGATGGCAAAAAAAAAAAAAGAAAAAAAAAGAAGCAGATCTTGGCGATTTTATGAGTTCAATATTTTAACACTAACCCAGGAGGAAGTAAAAAGAAATACAAGGAAGTGGAATTGTAAACAGCAAAATGTTCTTTAGTTTCAAAAGTTATTTTATCTTTTGTTTTTGTCATTTTTATCTTCATATTTCAACACTAAATTTGTAAAATTGAGTTAATATGGCAATATTAAAAATAAGCTATGAATCTGCAATACAACAGTGCTCAGAAAGTCAACCAGTGAAAACAATAAATCTTCTCTTGTCTCATGTTCAATGTATTTAATCTCAAATCATGCAATTTATTGCATGCTTAATCAAACTTGACATTTCTTATAAAGTAAATTTCAAAGGATCTGGTAACAAGTAATCTCAGAGGAATTTATTCCTTTTTGCAATATTTCAATGAATGAGTAGATTCTTTTTAGAATTAATCATCCCGCAATATCCTTCAGTTAGGACTTATAAATAAACTACATATGAAATAGTGTTATTTTTTATATGTCATCCCCGTCTCCTGGATGTTGATAATCACAGCGGCTAAGGCATCCTGCTCCTGTGCCAACCAAAGTGATTTGGTATTTGTTATTGAACAAAAATAAGCCATTAATAAACTACTCGTGGTGAACCTGACTAAAATTCATTTTAGTTTCAACAGTTTCTTTTCTTTTTGTAGTTTATATCCTCTCATACCATCACTAATAGTTTTTCAGGGCCAATTTATACATAACTTAGTAGGCCAGTAGTTCAAGATCTAGATCTACAGGCTTCTGATGCCAATCTTTACTTACTCAATTTTAAACTGTGTAGATTATTAGAAGATGCTAAGGTACAAATATTTACAGTATTTTTCATTCAAATTATTGTAATATAACAACATTGTGTATATTATTGTCAAATCAAATTAACATTTTTGTACAATTGATAGATTTATGTATTTAAAAAAAAAATTTTTAATTTAAATTTTAATTTANATAGTTACCAACACGTTGGGAGAAATGTATTGAGAGTATGGGAAATTATTTTGATTAAAGAACATTGCTTTAAAGTAACTAGTTTCTTTTTTTTTTGTTTAATACCAAAATCCTGCATTATTTTCCGGACAACCCAATAGTTTTATAAAAGTAAGTAAAGTTCTTCCTGTCGTACAAGAGGGCATAATGTCCAACTGTGACATGGACAAGGGGTCAAACCACTTTACAATTCTTTCATATTATTCACTATTTAAACTCCATGGGCTATGCTGGGATTCAAGCCCAGGATCGCTAGCAATACAAGTTCCATACATCCCCTGATAGTACTGTTTGTTTGATGTGTATCAATATTTCGCCAATGGAAGGCTGGTGAATTTCAATATTCTATTTGTCTGAGAAGTTATTTATTAAACTGACCTTATTTAAACTTTTAAAGAATTAAACCATTTAATTAAACAAACTACAGTAGTAATGGCGCTATTTTCAGCATGTCTTTTTGCAACAAAATTTCTTTATGTACTAACTTCATTCTCTCGAATTCTTTACGGACAACACTCATAGCAATCCACAAATTCTAGAATTCTGGCTATTAGTCAGTTTTTTCCTTCTGGGTTCTCCGTAAAAAAAAAGTCGTCCCACAAATTATTTACTTCCATTTGATATACATCTTCATTCCTACTTATGAAATTCCATAATTCCCATTATGTTTAGCATATGTTGGAGGCTGGCTCATACTCTACTACACAAATTATATTTACTTATTTATTTGTCAGTACACTACAGGATAAATCTCACATGTTGCAGAAATTTTTTTGTTTTGTGCTTTTTTAAATTATTGAGTAATCTGTGTGAGGCGCAATAAGTTACACAGATAACATAACAATAAATGTTTAATTAAATCACTTCTCTGCAAGGTCATGTCTCACTGTCTCTGTATTGAGGATTATTGGGAAGAGATCGGAAGGAAAGTGATTGCACATGAGAACTTAAGTAGGAATGGGCTTAGTGTGGAATTTTTGTAGCTGGATTTTTGCATCATCCTTTATAAAAGGAACATTTAGGTCATTATGGATGGTACAGTAGGAAGCATAGAACGGGTGTTGACAATGGCTCTAAGGATTTGCGATTTAAAGATCTGCATTCTGCAGATATTTATCTTTATTATTTATCTCCAGATTGGTGTATAAATTAAAAATTTCTTTTACTTCTTCTCTTGGCCAGAAATTTAAATCAAATTCCCTTGCCTTGTGAAGCTAGTCAATATACCTGTAATTTATGAACATGACATTAATTATATCACGATAGCTCAAGTGGTAAGAGCAGCAGAGTATTGAGCCGAAGTTCTTGGGTTCGAATCCCCCTCATGACACTAACTTTTTCATCTCAACTAAGACCTTAAAATAAACAAATATTAGAAGTTATCAGAATTAATTTTCTTCATTGTTTCCATAGAAAAATTTTTGGTACTCAGTTTAATTTTTTATTTAGGTATATCTTACATTTTTCTTTAAAAATATTCAGTGATCAACAAAAAATAAAAATTATAATGATTCCAAGTATTTACTATAAGTAATGAGGGTGGCCACTTTCTTGCCTATGTGGATAATAATTCATAGGTGTCAGTTTTTACATTAAGCTAATAAATGAATATATATTTATTTGACATCGGGATATTTTTAAAACTGAAAAATGATCATGTATATAAGTGATTATACAATTTCTTGAAATAATTATTGTCACGATTGCACAACTGGTTAGAGCAGTGGCGTATTGACCCTAAGGTCGTGGGTTTGAATCCTGCTTGTGACATCTCAATCAAGACTTTAGATAAAAAGTATAATTAATTTAAGTAATTAAATAGGTTGGTTACGACCACTAACATATATGGAAGTATTATTTGTTTACTGTGTACTCTCAACTTCCAAACCTTCACTTATCACATCTTCAGGCATCTTTTTTTAATTCGGTATTGTCATGACCTTTTCCTGATTTTTGAATTATTTCCCATTATTTTTTATGTTCAAACTTCCTGAAAACAACTTTGCCCTATCCCAGCAGATGAAATGTCACTCGGCCTCAGAATTAACCTTTTTATCTTTGCTTAATATCATCCTGTATCCTCAATATGGCAGTATTAAAAAATTGCCAGAGTATATAGTAGTTTCTGTCAAATCTTCTGGGTGAAGAGTAGGACAATTATGTCCTATTATGGAACAAATCAGACTGATAAAGATGCTAAGAAACCAAATATAACCAAACTAAATATAAAAGTTATTTGTAGTAAGGCATTCATGAAAGATAAAATCCAAACAAACAAAATTGATTGGAATATTATTCTTAATTATGAATATAAAATTTCCATTAATTAGTGGTACTCACATGACATTATTTTAGCAAATCACTTCAACTAAATGTTATTAAAAACAGAAACTAAATTAGTGGTATGAAGTTCAAGACTATTTCCTGACCATGACTATTCATTTGCAGGATTGTTGGTATAAAATTGGTATCAATTGTAGAATTACAGCCGACTCTCAATAACTCTTACCTCAGAGAGAAATTTAAAAATTTGAGTTGTTTTTTTATTAATTGAGGTATTGAGCCAGCTAATCCACTCAGAGACATACTTAACCCGATTTTTTAAAATTGTGGATGAGGTGTTGCCTTTTTCTTAATGCTTTCCTCTACTGTCTTAATAATCTTTCTTTTCTCCTCCATGCTTAATGCCTTACATTTTTTTGTATACAAATGAACAAACCCGTAAACAAGAACAAACTGAAAAAATAGAACTGCCCAATAAACATGAACTGTACTATTCACTATCGTATAGGAGAGCGGGAGAGAGGAGCCCATCAAGTGCCGCTGATTGCCTGACCTTACAAAGAAAATCTAATTGAGGTTTTCATTTTGAAATGTTCAACTTATAGAGGTAAAACTGTGGGCAAACACTATAGGAAAATGAGGGGGATTTAATAAAATTCTAGTTATCAAGAGTTGACTGTATTAGCATTAGTTTAAAATCCTCATGCATACATTGACGTACATTTACAAACAGAAGTGCATATAAAATGTACCAAATGCAGTTAAAAATAGCAAATCTTACCTGAAAAATTATGTTTATCAAAAACTGTTTTTAATAAGAAGGAAGATTTAAGACACATTTTTAAGAAAAAACCACATTTTACTTGTAAACATAAAAATTATAAACAGGTATGTTTTGTTGTAAATTAAATTATTAACTCGCTTTTGATGGTACAATTGTTTCACCGCCTCTGATTTGACCCCAACCAATCAATCTGTAAACAAGAAAAATTATCAAATTTTGTTTAGACACATGGACACAGGGGAAATAAATACCTCCAATGTTTTTCCACTCTTCGACTGAGAGCGACTTTTTCTCCTATCTCCGTACATACGGGGTTTGTGAGAGAAATTTTGGCCAAGTCCATCTTTGACTGCTTGACTCGACCTCCGGTGGAAAGTGAACCAATGTTCACCAACAACACTTCTGCCTTAACAAGTTTTACAACCTAGGAAAAAGACCAAAAAACAAATTGAGTATCTGTTTTGATCCTCTTGATAATTGTACTTTACCTTGGCTGCTTTTTTATCTCCTTCCATCCTGACTCCTAACAGACGCTTTAGAAGGTAGTAGGAAATTTCAAGTTCAATAAATATCTGTGGCAAAGCACCAACGGATCCTAAGACTTGCCCTACCAATCTGTCTGCTCGGCAAAGTGTTGGTTCAATCTTGGTCCCAACTCCTAATAATTTAAAAATATACTATTAATTTTGCTATGAAAAAACTGAAAAGAAAAAATTATTCTTCAAGTTTATTCTATTAAACTAACAGGCTTGTTTTACTGATTACATTGATATATAAGCTTAAATCTGCCCACGTATGTACATAATTTCTCATAGTCCACCGGCAATTCCAGCTTTTGTAAGTTTTAATAAATTAACCACTGGGGTGTTGGCAGTCCTGGGTAGACCTCGGTTTTATCCATCCAGCCACTGAGTATAGGCTCCAGGGGCTATCAACAGCTAGGATATTTTATCCTCCAATACAATCAGTTCCTAAATACAATCCCATTCACCTCTCACTCACTTAGGCCGGTGCTACATGAGAAGGAATGCGATGGAAGTTTCCGCTGCACAAGCTTACATTCAAAACACACTGCCAGCAACAGACTGAACGGAAATTTCCGCCAAGCTCCGTTAGTGCACCGGCATCCATCGACGGAATTTTCTGCTGGGTTCCGTCTAATCAGGTCAAAACAGTGCAAAGTAGAAGGGTGCGCCACACTAGCGACGAACATGGGTAGAATGGAAAAGACTGTAGGTTCATTCTGTTTATTTCCATTGTATATGTGGCTTGTTCGGGTTGGGGTGGATTTTTCGAAGCGAAATTTCCGTCACATTCTGTCTAGTGTGGCACTGGCCTTAAATACATACTTCCCTATTTACATACCATTCATTCAGTTAAGGTGGTAGAATACTCGATTCTTCCTCTCACATTACCCATTCATGTCAATAAATATAATCCTCTCAGGGACATAGGACTATCATTATATAATAAAACAACAATTTCCTTCAAGAATCAGAACAGGGCACCCAGACACTCGCTGCCGTGCTCAAGAACAATAGTCACATGGGTGGCTTTCCTAATTTCCTATGTGTACTTATATGGAACCAAGGAATTGCATCTTTTAATTGAGGGACAAATTGAACCAGCTTTTTCTTTGCTTTGGCCCAAAAGTAAGTGTCCATAGATCAACCTCGCCTATTATTAATCAGGCGAGGATGGCTCTTCTACCTACACCTTTGAAAGGCCACCTATGAATTGTTTTAATTGTTAAATGTGTGATTCTAGACAATTATCAAATGATCAGGCTGATAGCCTTTAACCATATTGAAATTTGTTTATAATAAACCTCTTATTACTAGTGGATCATTTTGGTCATTGGAAACCAAAAATTAATAGTTATCTTAGGTTTGTATAAATACACAATTACAAACCGGTTGCCAACTAATCCATATTTTATAACTGCGCATGCCTGAACATTGACTGACCACAATGGAATGCTTTTTTTCTAATCTCGATCTGCGAAAATTCATACATCAAAAACCTTAAAATCAATCAGTCAACTGTCTCTTCTCTACCCTTCTTTTACCGATGCTATCAATTTGTGTGATGTTCTCATATATTATTTTCCTATTGGAGAAGTTTCAACCATTTTTGAATACTGCAGTTTTCTCTGTATAATAATTATTATTTTCAAATGTAAAATATATAAAATAATTTCACTTATATAATTCCTTAACATAAAAAAGTGCATTTTTATTTTATATAATTTTTTTAGCATTAGAAAGATATATTTTTATTTACAAAAATTTAAAAATGTACATTATTTCAAATAAATTGTTACCTTTTTACAAATTTTTCAACTAATGTGTGTAAACTATAAAATCCTTTGATAATTAAAGTTTTTTTTATTTTACATTTTTTTTAAATTTATTATTTTGTATATTCGTTAAAAAATAAATACATATATATGTACATATTTCATATATACATCTGGTCCACCAAAAACTTTGCGATTTGACAAGCAAAGGTGCTGGGGGGGATATCTGTGCATGTCTTATGACTGCCAGTCCTTAGTCACATCCTCAGACTGTTTTAACGATCAAAAACCAGTCCCAAACCTGACTTGAAAACGTGTTGGAACGGCCAATTGACAGACTGAGTTGGTTTGGGTTGGTAGCATGATGGAATGCCAAACCTCAACTGTTCATTCACCTACCCCTTTGTGGGTGGTTTGAATGTGTGATGGAACAAACCTTTTGTTTCCGATGACATACCTGAACCAGTATTTGAATTACCCTGGTCGATACAGATCTATTTAAAATAAACTTATTTAGTATTATCGTACCAATAAGTCCGCCAGGCACTGCAAATTGCAAGTCGTTTTGCTCAGCACAGAGTGAAACAACTCTCGAGAAAATGGGTTTGCACGTCAATTTCCCCTCGCTGTCTTTTGAAACAAGGCCAGGTCTGACCTCAATCTCCATGCCAATCTGGTGGAAAGCAAATTAAATTTAATATAATTTTATAATTAATAATTGGAAATAATTAAATACCTTTAAGACACCCCTAAGGATACTTCCTCCTGCAACACCACCTTTAAGATCATCAACTTCACAGCCAGGCTTGTTTACGTCAAATGATCTGATGACAATAAGCCTTGGCTCAGAGTTGAAATCTCTTATTGGGACAGGGATCTTTTTTGTAATGTACTCGCAAAGGACTTCAATGTTGTATTTCAGCTGAGCTGAGATTGGAACTACAGGTGCACCCTCAGCTACTGTACCTGTTAAATTTAATAAACCAAATTTTAAAAACTTTAAACTTAAATAATACATTTAAAACTTTGAGAAAAAGACCTTGGACGAATTTCAAAATTTGTTCGTACTGTTCCTTCGCCTGGGCTTCCCTGACCAAGTCGATTTTATTCTGGAGTATTATTATGTATTTGAGCTTCATGATTTCAATGGCAGCCAAATGCTCGGATGTTTGCGGTTGAGGACAAGACTCGTTACCAGCTGAAATGAGCCTAGTGTTAAACGATTTCTCTAAATTCAAACAATTCTACCAACCGATAAGCAATAAAGCAGCATCCATGACTGCTGCACCGTTAAGCATAGTGGCCATAAGAATGTCGTGACCAGGACAGTCGACAAACGACACATGGCGTACCAATTGAAAATATCCATTGCAGTTAACTCTTATACAAGGCAGAGTATCATCTTTTGAAGAACCGCCTGATATATAGCAACCGGGCCTGGGGCATTTTGGGTTATCACATTTGTAAATTTTTGCATTGGCATATCCTGAAAAAGTAAATAAATACTGCAGTTAAACTACATATTATTTTTATGTACAATCAAAAAATGTTATAAATATATTTACTACATATTTTTTGTCTGTTTAATTTTGATAAGTTACACATTCTTTAAAATTCTATTTTGTCTGTAGCTATCAATAATTTGATGTAGATAATAACTTTATTTTAAAAAAATACAGAAAATTAATATATTATCATTTTGTCAATACAGGATGAGTTTAACTTCTGTTCCCCCCTATATTTTTTGACTGGGCGTCTTTCTGAAAAGCTCCAAGAAAGCAAATTTTTATTTTTGTCATTTCTTATGAATAAAAAAGTTTTGATCTAACTCTCCACAATAACACGATACGGGTAGGAACTTAACTGATGGAAAAACTTTTTCCAAACACTGGTTTTTGTATAAATGAAATCTTCTCCAACCTATCACCAATTTTTTATTTATAATTTTAATTGATAGTAATTTTCTTACTTGAGGCACTGAAAGAAAAATTTTGTAAGTATTTCCTCAAATAACAGGATGTAGCTCATTAATGCAAGATTCAGCCTGGTGCAAATTTTGGTCCATGTTTCCCAACAGAAAAATCATCTTCACTTTTTCTTGTGAGTAATTATGAGACTTTTTACGATTTGTACAGTAAATCAAAGAACATAAAAACTAAACTTTAGTGTGATGGTTTTTAAGATGTGTTAACTATGTACTAAAACATTTCAATCTTTCTGTGAGATTTTTCAAAAGCCTCAAAGTAAACAGATCATGTTTTATTTGTTTTGTTGGCTTCATTTATTTACGTTTGTATTTGCTGACCGACATTTACTCCAGGCTGAATCATGCTTTAAGAGCTACAACCAGAGCTTCCTGTTAAATCAATATTATTTGATGAGATGGTTCCGAATTTTTCTTTCTGTACCGCAAGCAAATAATTTATTATCAATTAAACTGATAAATAAATAAGTTGAAGAAAATTTCATTTATCCAAAAACCAGTGTTTGGAAAAATTTTTTGTATGAATAACTTGAGAAGGTGACTCCAAATTAAAAACTGTCTGCACCATTGAATTCAGCATCAAAAAACCTTTCACAAATGTGCAGTAATGAATACCTTGCTATTTGAAATAATTAAATATCCTATCCGTATCCCCTTATCCTGAAGAGATAGATCAATATGTTTTGGTTCATGAGAACCTAGACAAAAATTAAAACTTTATGTCTCGGGATTTTTCCTTTAAGGTTTAACTCAACCTCTATAATACATACAAGAGTGAATTCACTGTCTGTTCTGAGCATTTATTTTATTTTTTTACGGCAGAGGTCATATCAACTGCCAGAGTGCTGGTGTTTTTGGGAGAAAAAAGAAACAAAATACTCAGGGTTTGAATTCAGGACCACCGGGAATTGAACCCAGGGCCCTTATAGTCGTCATGCCATCTCTCTAACTATTGCGGCCACTAATACACAATATCTATAAAATTTTAAAACTTTATTAAAAATTTTACTATAAGTCAGGTATTATTTATAAAGAAGTTTCCTTAGTTAATGCATGTCGTAAATAAAGAACAATATTGATGACTGATGTAAATTTTAATAGGTAATTTGTTTACTGAAGCTAAACGTTCAATTTACAATCTCATTGTTTGGAACTTCTAGATTATACTCTTCAAGTGAACTTAATGTGGAGGATTAAGTTTGCCTGTTGTTTTTCTTTATATACTTTTTATACTATATTTAATTTATTTAATATCATTTCCAATCATCACCCACTGAAGATGTCAAAAAGCAGTTAACAGACTAAACTAGTGTCTAATTTATGTACAATGGTACAAAATATTTTCTTTTAGATATCCTGAATCATTAATCTTTTGTCTGGATGATAATTTGACAATAACATCCTTGGGGGTGTCGGTGGCCGCAATGGTTTAGGCGTTGACACGGCGATCATCGCTGTAAGGTAAAGGTCCCTGGTTCGAATCCAGCGGCCCTGCATTCGAACCCGACATACTTACAAATGGGCTTTTTTTCAAAAACACCGGCACCCTGAGGGTTTATATGTTATATGGTTTAATATCCTTACTTGCATTACTACTTGGGATGTCTAAAGAAGATTAATTTTGTAAAAAAAAAAAAACTTATAATTAAATTTTCTCAAGCAAACGTTTAAGTTGTATGTTGCAGGTTAGCATACATTCTCGAACATATCTAATAGTTGAATTCTTTAAATATATAATTATTTAATTAAGATAACTTGACTCTTGCTCCCTCATGTAAATTTTCCTATTTATACTTAATTTTGTTTGTTTGTTGGTGATTTTAAGTAGTCCTAAAAATAATGATTATTTATACATATACATATATATAAATTTGGCAAACTCGTTTTATGTGCCTAAAGGATATATAGTAACTTAAAATAGGCGCACAAAGTAAAGAGCAATCAATGTATGGCAGTGCTACAAGAGTATGAAGATTAATCTTAGTTAATCCAAGGGTCTAAATCAGTTTGTTAATTTCTTTTGGATTGTTATTTGGATAAACTAAGTTGTTTATTAGTGTAGTGTAATCTATGAGGTGATTAACCTGCAGTATGATTATTTCTGACATCCGGGTCGTTATCTTCAGTGTTGATCTTATAAAGGGTAAACTCAACACTGAAAATGCTGACAATACCAGTGAATATGGACTGACAAGGATAGTCTATGCTGTGTAAAGGAAGAAAATTCTTAACATAAATATAAATAGTAATTATTTGAAACACATAAAAATATCAAAACTTCCAAGTATTTTTTCCTCAAAAATATTTTCCTTCATGGGTGAATTGTTAAAATCAAATGGTTAAGTTATTCACATTTTTATCCTGTAATCTCGATTTTTTCTACTTTCATAGACAAATTTGGTGTTTAATCGGTATGATTTTTCCTTATAAGATAATTTTTGGTATCTTTATAATAATGATTGTGCACATATGACTTGTAATATGCCTACTAGCGACCTCAAGATGTCAAAGTATGCCACTATCTTCTTGAGAGTTCATGAAGAGGACTTTTATCTTCTTGGGGGCCACTGATGACCAAATGAGGATCATTCCTTCCACTGTGACCTTAGAACATCTACATATTGTGAAATTAACCCTTCTTAATTTCCAAACCTCAAAAAGTTCACTACCCATCCTTAAAGTTATTTAGCATTTTCCTAGTTCCTCTTCACATTTTCCAAAGAAACCATACCTTTTCCCGCTAAGCTTTGCAGTCACAAAGGAATGTTTGTTATTTCTGCCTCTTCATGACAGTCAGCATGTTTCTGTCTGTTTTTGAGGTGGTTAATTAAATGGGCAAAGGCCAGTATAAAAGCCTGTTATTTCCTTAATCCTTGCCTACTGAGGAGGTAGATTTTTGTTTTCCTGGTTGAGATGTTAACTTCTTCAACTGTTTTGCACCTGGTTAATGAGGCGGCGGACATACTTTCTAGCTGTTCATACAATGGGTATGGCCAATGGCTCTTTCTGACAGGCTGTCCTTTTATGTTGACCTACTGTTCAACTTCCACATTCACTGGTTTTAAATTTTTCTACATTTTCAGAAAAAAGTAGCGCAATTGTTGAACTACTCTAATGTGTTTTGTCATTGCACTATCTTCAGTGAACAGTTGAGTAGTTGAGCAACGGGTTTAAGTAGTTCAACAATTAAACTAATTCGTTTTTAAAAATGTAACCCGCAAGTAAAGACAGATCCAATAAGTGACCTAGTGACAATTGCAGCACATGTTTTTGTTATTGGTTATTTTCTGCATAACTAGACTTTTATTGCAAGCATCTTGTTACTTTTGTTAACATAATTTTTTCTTGTGGTTAAAACAACTTCAAAATACATCAAAATAAATAAAGCAAAAAATTAAATAAATAATTTCAAAATGTAATTTTCCCAGTTAACCCCATTTTTGTCCAAAATATTAATTGAAAGACTTGGTCAATTGACTACAAAAACGTAAATGGATTAATATAATTAATAAAAAATGTTAATGTAATTGAAAACTCATGCATTTCTGTGTAGATGTGCGATTTGCTGTTGTGTGGTGGAGAACTACCCATACACGTACAAATACCTGCAGGTAAGATTTACAAAACTAAACCATTAGATCTTACATACTCAGAAAAAACAACAACATATAAAGCTCTCTTATAACCCCGTTTGAGTATTACGTTGAGCAAAATGGTGATAGCACTCCTAAGACATGGTAAAACAACTTTTTTTTGTATGCTATCCTCTCAAGTAAAATTATTAACTTCCTGGGAGATTTGTTGGAAACTGCTTTTTCCTTAAATGGTTCGAGAGTAATGATATTTCACTGCCAATTACCAAAATAGTAAACATTACTTCTAGTTTAAGAAATGGAGGATTTGCAGATATAATGCATGATGTAGAATTACTTTAGAAAGAAACTTTAGATGAGGGAAAATTGATGTATCCATCAACCAATTGGTACTCACAAAACGAGAGAGAGAGAGAGAGAGAGAGAGAGAGAGAGAGAGAGAGAAACTACAATGAAAAACCAAGTTGAAAATTTGAGATGTGTGGAAGACATTCCATAGAATATGAGAGGCCATTCTATTTGACAACAAGGAGATGAATGTAGAGCTTTTGATTGAAAATTATTAATTGCAATTTTCATGCAACGCAGAACAAATCAACCTGATTAAATTTGTATATCCATATTTACTTACTTCTGAGATTCACTTAATATGGTACGAATTACTTTTAACTAATTTTAAATTTTTGTACAACATGGCATGTGGATTACAAATTTATTGTGTTATCTGACGGTTGACTGTTAATGATACTTAGTGACATAGTCAAACAGATGGTCCAACCTCTACCTAGTTGAAAGTAAAGATAAAATATATATTATTTGCTAGGTAGTACTATTTTTTCAATTCTTCTGGAATAACACATTTTACTATAAGCATGATATATTTTAATTACCTACTTCCTCTATTAGAATAATTGGTAGTTGGCTTTCGAATAAAAAATTAAGTTCAGTTAGAACGTCAAAATTTTTTAACTTGGGAAATCAACATAATTTATACTATATACTTGACTTTTTTATTTTGTCCTTTAATGGATTTATTATAAAATTGAAAAGATACATTAAAAATTAATTGTAAACAATAACAAATACCAGGTAACCAGTAAAGTTCATACAGTTTTTCATTTATTTTCGTTTGTATAAAGTTAATTAAACATTTCTATTTACATAGGAAGATTAGGAATTTACATAACATAATGCCAAGAGGATAATACATCAGTTCATGAAGAAAAAATGTGTTGAATAGTTCACTGAAATTTAACTTTTTTTCTCTCGTGGCTTCAAAACCAGTAGTTGTTCTCATATGATAATTGTATAATTTAAACTCAACCTTCTGTTTTGAATGACGACGAATTGTGGGAAGCTAATGAACTTGATTTGAGTCAAACATTCAACAATTGTTATCAATTGGGTTTAAAATAGAAAACACAAACTGAATATAGTTTACAAGTTATTTGTACGTCAAACACAAATATTCCTTTCTTTCTACAACCGTCAATATTTTTATAACCTTGTGTCTATATCTATCGCCTGACTGTATTCGAGTACTCAGAGAAATCAGCCTTAGAAATATTTTAACAGTTAAAACTAATTCAACTCTGTTGTAAAAAAAATTCTACTCTTCATTAATCACCAGTAACAATAATTTAAATAAATAAAAAGTAGTAATTTTTAAAGCTACATTTTAAAACTCCTTTTCCTAATAAAAATATAACAAATAAAAAGGTAGATAGATAATGAGAGATTTTTGATTAACGATCACTAATCTCTACACAGATAATGAGAGAGAACAATGGAGATGTAGTTTTCCTTAAATTTTAAAAAATTAAATGTCTCGATTGTAAATATTAAAAAATCTTTATTTCATTTGGGTGTACAAATAGTTATAGAAATATCAAAATTAAAGCCAATATGACACAGATAAAAAATTATTGTATTTAACAAACATAATATAATAGTTATCTTTTGACTGGCAAAACAATTTTGTTCAACTTAGTTACAATAACTGCAAAAGTGATAAAACAATTTTTAGGTAAATTTAATTTTAAAACCATTCTAATTTCCTTAATGTTGCAGACATTTTACTAAAATTACAACCAAATAAGGGGAAAATATTCATAAATATAACTGTTAGAATAATATCAAATATTGGAATAGTCAACAAATCAAAACAAAAATTTCCGACAATTGTGTTCTCCACATTTGCAATGAGTAAATCCTGTGCCCAAATTTTCTTTGCCATTAGGAAGGCATAAATAATCAAATGTCAATTCTTCATTTTCCGCGATATCCCTAATGGCAAATAAACCCAACCTGGGCAAATTAGGATCGAGACAATCGACCCAAATTGCATAAACTGCAAGGTTAGGGTTGCAAGAATGATTTATAAAATGAGAAATGTTTCCAAATAGAGCAGCATCGACAGTATAAGGGAAATTTTTCTTATCATTGAAATCCAAATCAAACAAGTACGTCAAACCAATTTTGTCATAAATTTTCCCCCTACGATCAGCTTCTTCACTAGTAATCACTTCCCCAACATACTCTACAACAAACTCCCCTTTCTTGATGTTTTTCTGAGTCTTTACACCCCAGCCACAACCATTGCTTGTTTTAAAAATAACGACAGGAATTGTACGTCCGCGCTGAACTACTCGATTTTTACAGGAAGGAGGACATGTGCATCGCTTGTTGCATTCGTAAATTGGAGTACCTTTTTGGACTTTGATCAGACCATCTTTGGTGTAGGCTGCATTGACCTCTTTAATACAACAACAGTTCTTTCCACATTGATTGCAGTCACAACCAACAGGAGGATCGTTAGGGATAACTATCCCATAACCAGCAATATATTTATTAATGTATGTAAAATTGGGAGGAGGGCCTTCTAAATCGATACAATTAATGACCCTGATTGGTGCTGGGTCTTTGCTTGTAATGTTTATGTCAGATTCCCATTGCTGTAACATTTCCAACTGTTTAGTCCTCTCATCCTTTAATTTCAGCATTAGCAATTGTTTTTTAATAGTATTGACAAAACTGTCATCTCTGGCTTGCGGTGGGATTTGGGCAAGAATTTCAATATTGTCGTCTAACTCCTCAACATTGATATCAGGTAATTTATGTCCGGTTGGTGTCAAATATATCCTGGCAAGATTGTTCAGTTCTTCTTGGGTGTGTGAGCTCAGAAATGTTTTGAGTGCCATGGCACGACTCTTAGTAGGAGGATAAGTCTTTAAATCAGGAAAAATCAATTTTTGAAAATACTTTGCTAACACCTCGTAACACCCCTTTACATTCTCTGAGGGTTCCCAAGTGTTATAGCATGAATCCCAACCTGCCCATTTAACTAAATAACTGTCAATCTGACCATTGTTTTCTGAATGAGAAATTATGCATTCCACTTCATAGATATCCGATTGATCATTTTTTGATGATTTTCTCTTTTTATACCTTCTTTTAAGCTTTCCGTTTTCTTTATTATCAGTAGTTCCTTCCCTAATTCCATTTACTCTTTTCATATGACCATTCATGCTTACTTTACCTTTCAAAACTTTATATTAATTTTATTTACAAAACAAAAATATTTTTATGACCAAAAAACCACGAGTACCACAAAATTACCTAACTTAATGGTGATATTCCTTTCTAATTCATTCTTAAATCTAACTGTTTGTACCCCAGAGACAGCTTTCACTACAGTTGACTTCCCATGGGCGACATGGCCAATTGTACCTGGGAACAGAAAGAAATTCTTTTTACAACTTAATTAAAATTATCACATTAATATGTATAATTAATTGTTTGTAATTCACAAATATATAAAACATTAATTTTGAGAAAAGAGAGTATTTTATACTAAGATCTGTACTAATGTATAATATTTATTGACCGTTAAGTAATGATTATTTATAGATCGAGAGATGTGGTCTGGTGTGATGTAGGTTTAGTAAAACATCTTTATCGTGCCAACGTTTCAATCTTTATGAGATCATCATCGGGGCCTGGGATTTATAAACATATATAATTCTCAACATGATACACAACAATGACATCTACACAGAAAATACACACACACTTTGAGTCAGTACGAGTACTTTGATTAAACTTAAAATTTCTTTATTTTGTACACCATTGTATAATTCATAGTCATATCTTATATGTATTTGTATAATTTAAACAATGTTTATAAATCCCAGGCCCTGATTATGATCTCAATAAAGATCGAAACATTGGCACGATAAAGAAAATGTTTTTCTAAACCTACCTTACACCAGACCACATCTTACAATATCCAAATAATCATTTAGACTATTGTTTGATGTGTGGAATGTAATGATAGTTTTATGTTTTGGGTGTTAGATGTATGTTATTGATAATGAATTTGATTTATAATAATATTAGCATAGCTGCAGCTGAGTTTACATGTGTCTGTTCTGTAATCGATGCTGTGTTTATCTTTTTAAGTAAACCATGTCTAACAATTTACGTTAAGTTTGTTTTGATCTGTGTTTTAATATTTTTGGATTGTTGAAGTCGAAATTGTGTTGATGTTCAAAATGTGGGTAGCCAGTGCTGTAGGATTTTGTTTGCGTTATTTGCAGTCTAGATGTGTTGTTTTACCCTCTAATTCAGATATTGTAATGTAAGTTGCCAGACAATTTGCATAATTGATTTTGTAAATTTGTTCAAACTTATTTGTTACTGGTGTGGGATCTCTAATTCTGGGAAAAGTGTTTTAAGGCTATTTTAAAGTTATCAGAAGAAATTAACACGTTTAATTTAGGCCATGTCAAATAATTTTTATAAACAACTATTCGGCATAGCCATGGGTAGCAACTAGGCCTGATACTTGCTGACATAATTATGGCACATCTATTGAACACAGTTATACCACAACTTCCTTGGTACGCAGATGGTATATTGACAGCAGTACCCACAGATTAAATCAAACTATGTTTATAAATCCCAGGCCCTGAAGTTGATCTCAATAAAGAAAGAAACATTGACACGACAAAGAAAATGTTTTTCTAAACCTACATCACACCAGACCGCATCTCACCAACTCTAAATAATCTGTAATAATATAGATTTCATACTGGGATCTGCGGGGAGATGAACCTGTTGTTTGTTTTTTCAGTTCATTTTGAGCTGCTTATTCCTGCTGTTTTGTTCTGTCAGACCAAAATTATCAGAAATGACCAAATTATACTATCACAATTGTTAATTACACACCATAAAACTAATTTTTAAAAACAGTGGAAGGACATTTTTATTATTTTTACATAAATTTGGGTAATTCTTTTTGATGTCCCCTCACCCCCAATGCCTGTATGGCTTATGTACTATTTTATAATACTGGCTCAATTCAAATTATACAAGAAAATTTCCAATTGAGGTATCGATAATTAACCAAATTTCAGCCACTTATTTATTAGTCATGTAATTATTGCAATTAAAGCATAGTTTTTACAAGATGAGGGAACATAATTTAAGATATTTATGTTGTTCAGATATAAGGGGTCAAGTTGAATTCAACAATCTACCATCTATGCCATCTATCACTACCATCAGATGGTTGAGAGATATGCTTGTAATTGACCGTTTTACGGCAGGCAATATCTACCCACAGATCTTCCACATATCACAAATCCCATCAAACAACTAACCACTAAAGTAGTAAGAATGCTACAAGAGAATGCAAATTAAGTTAACATGACAATCTAATGATTTAACCAGAATTCTATAAAGCCTGCATAAAGACATTCGCCAATCTGTGGAAAGTAGTGGTATTCACACAGATTCTTGTGAGATTTTGTTTGAAAATCTGATAAATTAACACCATTAAAACAATTTGTAATTTGGTCATTACCAATTTCCACATGGAGATATATCACAATAAAAACAATTATTCATTATTAGTCAAAGTATATTTGAAATAGCCTAATAAATAATAAAAATACACTGAAAATTATACTCTTTACAAATACTGGATCACAACAAATATTTTTTTCACATATATTTTAAATAATATATTGCCCACAAATTTTCCACTTTTTTGAAAAGCAAAATGACATTTAATTTTTTGAAACAGTAAATTAAACAACTGTCACCTAAAATAAATTTAAGTTATATTTTGACAACTTACCAATACAGTAAAATTCAAGGAACTGCAGAGGCTAATAGTCATATTTGTCAATTGGAAGAACTGGGTTCGAATCTCAGCATTGCCATTGAAATTTTATTTTAATATAATTAATTTTAAAAAAAGAAAGAATGACGAGGCAATGTACAAACACTTGAATTTGCAATGGTGGAAGAACTGGGTACAAAATCCCGGCTTTGCCATTGGGATTTTATTTTTATTTGAGGACTTGGTTGAGGAACAATTAAAAATATCTAACTAGTTTCAATTAATTAATCTTTTTACATAAGGTCTTGGTTGAAATGAAGAAGTTAGTGTCACGAGCAGGATTTGAACCCACGATCTTCAGCTGGAAATGGATCTAACAACTAGTGTTGGACATAGAGAAATTGGCCTGGGGAAAGGAAAAAAAAAAAAGAGAGAGAGAGAGAGAGAGAGAGAGAGAGAGAGAGAGAGAGAGAGAGAGAGAGAGAGAGAGAGAGAGAGAGAGAGAGAGAGAGAGCTTGATAAGAAGCACTGTTCTTGGTTTTCACTTCAATAGTACGCCGTTTTTTGTTGTTTTTTTTTCGGCGTACATACACAAGATCGAAGAATTCTTCAGAGCAGGTGGTAACTTTTCGTTTTTACTTTTTTCATTTTCCCCTTTACAGACACTACTCGTTGTAAATATATTTTTTCAACTAAAAAATATTAAGTTCAGTAGTAGATTTTTGTCTTCATTTTTACCTTTTTTCTTTTTGTATTTCCTTTAAATCTCAACCAAAAGGGTAAAAAGTTTATTTTATATTTATCTTTTCCTTGTTTTTCTTTTTTATGCAAGGCCGTTTAGAAAAATTAATGATAAATTGAAAGAAAAAATTAGACCATCGCATAAAATATCAAGTGATTAGAGCAGCAGCGCACTGTGCCGAAGGTTGTCTGTTTGAATCCCGCTCACGACACTAACTTTTTCATTTCAAACAAAAACCTTACATAAAAAGGCTGATTAAATGAATGAAGTAATTTGGTCAATCAGGCCACTAAATATAATGGAGTTAACTTTACACATTTGATCTATTTCCATGGTTTCATTATTTTTATGATATTTCATATATGTACAATTTAAGTAATAACTTGTAAAAATGTAACTTTAACTCTTAATCATTTTTTCTTTCCTCTTAATAATTTGAATTAATTTTGTGGTCCCTTGGGTTTCGAATTATCAAATCAACTGTCCATGTTATGTAAGGACTATTATATATTTATAAGCATCAGACTTCAATGGTTTTCTCAAAGGTTGGTATGCCTCATCATCCGGAACGGATTAGGTAGCTGTCACTTGTTTCTTTGATGTTAAAATGATAAGACCAAAATAAGAGAACAAATGTTAGGCCACTGGGATTCTTTGAATCGACTCTTTGAATCTCCGAAGAGTCTCGGCTGTGTCTAGCCTGTGTCCGGGCCGCCCCGACTCATAGTTGCAATGAATCTGGTGTGTTGCGGGCTAGCATTTTCGGACTCTTTTGAATCCCATTTGATGTGAGATTCTTTGACTCAATGTTGTGCAACATTTGCCAATGCAGACGTGAATCGGAACAAGCGCTCTTGCTTCATTTGTTTAGTTGACGTTCTAGTGAATGTTTTCTTGAAGATTTGATACTGTCTTGTATAAAGGTAAATGTTGTGGAGTACCGAGTTGACTTTACAGTTTATTGAAGCCATGCATTCCCATCGGTGTTGTGGGATGTATCATTCACGGAATACAGAAATCGGGAATTGAAAAGCCAACTTTGAACGGTTTAGCCCAAAAATTCAGTGTTTCCACAGCCGAAGTCACCAAAATTGAAGACAAAAGAAAAAATGCACACTTTAAAAGGACAGTTTTTTTAATGCACTCCGATTGGATGTAGTAAGTACCATGCAAAAAAGAGCAAGGGAAATTCCTAAGAGCTAATTCCTCCGTCATTTTCGCAGGCACTGATGAATGTCAACTGAATCTTGGTCTGGACACGGTTCTTTGTCGCTGAGCAGAGTCAGGGCTGCATCGCAACAATGAATCTACGCAGCCCCAACTCTGCTCCACAACATGAATCGATTCAAAGAATCTCAGTACATACTAGGCTTTATGTATGCATGAACTAGATTACCTGAACAAGCATTTAATTACTTTGATTTGTGTGTGCCATAACTAGCCATTGGCATGGATTATTCACTATTATAGGGTGACTTCCCTTGGACCTTACAAAAGCCAAGAATTTTTAAAAAAAATGTATACAAACTTAGCTGTTCAACAGGTACAAGTGGTTACTTCACAGTTGAGGTACAATAGATGGTTTGCAGACAGGGTCTAATTTTTATGGGAATTGCTGAGAGATGATTTCCAGACATAATAAAATTACAGTATGCAACATATTCACCACTGTCCAAGAAGCTGCAAACAAACATTATCGATTGATCAGTTAACTTATTTACATCTAACACGGGAACCAATGGTGAAATCAATCTGATGACAATTAATCTGGGAAGAAAGTTGTGCCAATTACTGTAAAGCCTACTGTTCAGTAAAATATAAACTGATAAGGACAGAGGTATGAGGAGGCTGACACAAGATTCATTTGAGCGAACGTTTGTGCAGATGATTCTTCCCTTCATAAAGTCCTGACAAAATTACTTTTACACTCTTAGAAGATTTGTTTTAACTCTGTCTTTCCACAAACATGAGGCATACAGGTGATTTGGATCAAAAGGTTCTTTTATGGCTGAAATTTTAATTCTGACGATTGTTCAACTCTTTCATCCAACCAAGGACAGATTTTTATTTAAATTCCGGCAAATTTAGCAAAACTTTCTAAGCCTTAAAAAAAGACTCTTAAAAGTGTCAACACTAGAAATGTTTAGATCAATTCTTTGTTATGGGTACCAAATCTGGGAATACCAAATGTACGATTGGGTGGGGAAAGTACAATGCTTATTTATCAGGAAATTTTTTTCTATTACTCTCTGCTCAACTGTCACCTGTACTCGGAAACTGCTACTGATCTTATTTGTGTTTATACTCTAAAACTGCACTTTGCAGCGTGTCAAAACCTCAAGGTCGCCAGATTCTAGGCCTGTCATTATTACCACTAATGAAGTAATTGCTAATTCCGACCTCTCTTGGTTCACACATTGGAAGGTCTTATTCGAAAAATATAACCAAATGGAACTCTTATTTCAAAACACTCTTTCCTTAGTACATCGTAATGAGTCCCTCCCATCGAGTTTACTTATCAACCAAAGATATTCTTTATAAACAGCTTTGTCAGAGGTCTGGTCTGTTGACTTTAGGAAACAAAACTTAGACGTTCTAAATCTATTTGGATTTTTGGTGGCTGTTCAAGAGAAGATGCCTAATGTGATTGTCTGGTGACAGGACAATGAGATGTTGGGCTCTTTATGCTATTCACAGTCACACAATGGGAGGTGCCGTTTTTGCATTAGGATCTTTCTGGCTACAACTATTTGAGTTTCTGTTAACGTAAAACGTTAGGCCCCTTACAGCTATGCCTGACAAACATGAAAGTATAGGTACAAACGGGTTAAGAGATTTAATTTTTAGAATAAAAAAACCTTCAAAGTAACCATTTTTTACCAATCTACCATTAACTATTCCATATTAACTTATTGCTTTTTTTTAATAACTCCGGCAGAGGGAATAAAATCCATGCTGTAAAACAAGTAGTTATTTTTTTGTTCTATCATGCTGTAAGGTATTTGAAAAACTAAAAAAATACATTAGAAAGCACAGGAAAAATGATAAAAAGTAATTAGATAAACAGTATTAATGAAACACGTACCAATATTAATTGTGGCTTGCCTGCTGATTACTTCTGGTGAGAGTGCTGACAATCCAGAAATATCCTAAAATCAGTAATGAACAAAATTTAGTACCCAATTTAAATAACAGAATTTATAAATTACTAATAAATATTTATATTTATTGTTTTACAAGAATAATTACTGCAATAGTGAATATATTTTAGTATTATTAGGAGATTGTGATATGCGGTCTGTTCTGGTGTGACGTAGGTTTTAGAAAAACATTTTCTTTATCATGCCAACATTTCAATCTTTATTGAGATCATCTTCAGGGCATGGGATTTATAAACATTGTTTAATTTTACAAATACATGTAAGATGTGAGAAAAAAATGAATTTATACAACGCTAGAAAATTTTAGGTAAAATATATATATATTCAATGTTAGAAATTTTTTAGATTTAATAAAAGAATGAATTTATACAACACTAGAAAATTTTAGAACCTAATTATCCCCATCTATATAATCCTGAAAAGATAATCAGGCCAAACCATTCCCCATTGTTTCCTATTGTCGGCACCTTTCACTTCAAAGAAGCCAACTCCTCATATAAAAATGTTTTTATATTCCCGACTTCCTTCCCCACCCCTTCAAAATCCATCGTACATATACATAAAACATATCTCACTGGCACTCTCAACACGACACAGAAGAATGACACATCTACACAGAAAACGGTAAGTTCAAATACTTTGATTGAATCTAAAATTTTCTAGCATTGTATAAATTCATTTTTTTAATCTAAAACTTTCTAGCGTTGTATAAATTCATTCTTTTATTAAATCTAAAAATTTTCTAGCATTGTATAAATTCATTTTTTTCTTCACATCCTACATGTATTTGTAAAATTTAAACAATGTTTACAAATCCCAGGCTCTGAAGATGATCTCAATAAAGATCGAAACGTTGCCATGATAAAGAAATTTTTTTTTAAAACCTACAACACACCAGATTGCACTTCACAATCTTCAAATAATCATGGGCTGTCACTAAACGCCACATTATTTTAGTATGTTAAGTAAGATGTATGTTTCTTTAAAATAACATACTGAAGCAGTTTTAAAATGTGAGAAAATAATGTCTATGCTTTTAAGTTTTTGAAAAGATTATTACCAAAAATTAAAATCTTCCTAATTTCTAAACTTAATTTAATCAGGGATATCTTAATATCAGAGAATAAAAGGAGCAAATTATACAACTAATGTTAAGCATTGAAATTTATTTGTAAAACAATATCGATTTATTTAAGGAAAAAAAAATTACACATGGCTGTATGACTTAAAAACTCAAAACTTCTAGATAAAAATGTTAAGATACTTTTACCAAAAGAGTCAAGGCTTTTCAAAGACTTGAACAATGTTTGATACATGAACCCTTAATCCTTTTATATTGATATTAATGTTGAAAATAAAAGGAACACTGTTATTAATTTGTTGAAGTCTGAGGAGCGGTCAAGGATAAGATAGTTTAGAAAAACACCTTTTTCTTCATTATTTTGCTGAAATTTCGACCTTTATTATGTGTTATTTATATTAAGTATTATTATGTATTTTTGTTTATTTTAAGCATAAAGTGGGGTGCTATTCTTGTGGTGTCATATGGATTTTGTGTGAAATTGTTGTGAGATAAAGTCAGTAAAAACAAACAACCTTGTGATTGTTTATAGATGTGTCTTTACTTGAGAGGAGTGTTTTTTTTTTCCACTACAGTAATCCCTTAGTTTGTAAACATGCATCATAAATTCAACTACACTCAATATCTGTTTTCTTTCAACCTAAATATTCATCTTTAAAATGCTTTTTCTATCTCAACATGGGCTCAATATTACACTGCATTAAACACATACTAGTATATATTTGACGATATGTACTAGTAAAAATTTGTATTTAATATCAGTACAGTAAATTTAAGGATTAGTTTTTGGGTTAATTGTGTGTTCTTAAACCTTAAAGATTATTTATATTTATTCAAAGTGTGGTAGCAGAGTGGTCAGCGTGATAGACTCAGCTCATAGACCCTGTGGTCATGGGTTCGATTCCCACTGTCGCTCCTGGCCAGCCATTTTTTCACACTAACCTTCCCTCCAATTTCATATATATGATGAAACGTTCATAAGGCCATTAAAAAAAATCATTTCTTTGTCTAAAAGGGTTATGTACTAGATAGCATCTGCATCTCCAGCATTTTAAAGTTAACAACCTGATATAAGAACTATAGGTAATAAGAATCTAGTTCTTATAACTTGCACAACTGTTCCGCAAAACACGTCTCATGTTGGACATACCTAGCCGGTACAGTGAAACTTTTGGAATGAGGATGTTTTGGGGTGAGATGACCAGTTGTCGGTTTTTTAATGTGCATCAGTGTTTAGCAATGTTTGTTTCTCTCTGTGTAAACATACTTCTCTCGAGTATGAAAATGAACCAGGACTGCATTTGACTTATCCAAATTGATTTTTGTGGGATGCTAAAGATAAAACTCATCATAATAAGAACAGGAGAGAATGGTGTGGAAGGAAATGAGCATCACAATGGGACAAAGATAAAAGTATTGCCATGATAGCCAAGTCTGATCAGCAGTTGATGTAAAACGGCTTGCTTGTCTTGCACAAACTGATGGCTCACCTTGTTTCGCTTCGTGGAAATGGTTACTCCGAGGCGGCATTTTGTGAGCAATTCTCGCGTTTAGTTGTACGAGTGATTTTATCGTACAATGGAAACCCAGCTTTAAGTCCCTTGGATGTTCTTATATACAATTTCTACTATATATGGTTTTTATTGTTGATTTAAGTTTATATTTGCAAGGCATTATGTTGTTAATCAACTTAGCCCATTATTATTTTAATTTAAAGGTTTGGTTCTATTTCAATGAAAATATTCAAAATTTTTTTTTTAACTGATTGTAAGTGGGCTTAGGCCAGTAGTAAGTATCCATGTGCCAACCTAGTATGACCTATTTTTACTACGGTCAATAGAATCCCTCTTCTTCGATCAACCATGCTCTCGATATGCGAGCTTCTCTGCCTATTTATAATGAATTTTCAGTCAAACGCATCAAATCTAGTATTTATTATTGTTTAAGTAAGTTCAAAACACTTTTAGATACAGCAGGACAATACAATCAGCAAAAAAGAGTACAAGGAAAAAATTAACAAAATTATCAACGACACAAACATATACAGCACAATCAAATCCCTACCCCTTCTCTCATCAAACAGACAAACAAAATTTTCCAAGAAACACTTAAACGAAAAGAAATTGACATATACACCTACAAATCACTTCAAAACAACTCACCAACGCCCACAAAACTATACTGATCTGTAAAAACACATAAACCTGAACACCCTCTAAGATTAATTTCATTTGTAAATTCCTTGACATATAACATGACAAAATACCTAACCAACATACTCCAATCACAGGTAACACATATAATGTAAAAGATTCATTTCATTAACAAAATTAATAATACTCACATACCCTCACACTACTCTCTCATATCCCTAGACGTTTCGGCACAGTTTGCAGCACAGTTGCACAAACACAATATTCGACTTCAACAATCCAAAAATATTACACACGTAACACAACTAAATGTAACTTTTTTAGAAATGGTTTACAACAACAAAGATAAACACAGCATCAATTATAGAACAGACACATGTAAACTCAGTCGCAGCTACACCAATTTAATCAAATTCAATATAAATAACATATATATATATATNATCCTCGAGGTGCCGGTGTTTTTGAAAAAAGCCCATTTGTAAGTGTCGGGTTCGAATGCAGGGCCGCTGGATTCGAACCCGGGACCTTACAGTGATGAGCGCCGTGTCAACGCCACCGACGTCCCCTTTATTCTTATTTTATTAACTTTAATTAAATTAACCGATATATTATTGTTAGGTGGTTAAAACAAAATATGATGTTAATCCTCATTTTTAATAACGAATTTACTTAAGAATAATAAAGATGAAAATTACTCATTTTGTAAACAAACACCTTATCTCATCTTTTCTCTATTTTAATCCAGTTGTATTCTCTTTAACTATGGAAAGACATAATCTTGAACCAGATGTGTGCAATATTACTGTGAGAATGAGTCATCGAGGTCACCGGCAAATGGATATCACGAGGCAGTTGGCATTTCTCAGAGCATGGTAGCCCGATTCTGAGATGGAAGTGCCAATAGGAGGCCTGGTAGTGGATCACAGCACAATACAACGTTAGGGAGGAGAGAAATATTGTCATTGCTCCAAGACAGAACCCTTTCTATAGTGCACGCCATTTCCTAAATGAGGTACAAGATGTTCTGGCAAGGCCATTATAACAAATGTTTGTGGGGAGTTGGCCTCACATCGTATGCCTGTTTGAAATGACCTGCAGTGAAAGCCCGCCTCCAGTAACTCAGGAGAATATGGTACAGTGAGAACCTAGAAGAGAACAACTGGAATGCTGTTATGCTTACTGATGAATAATATTTCTGCTTGTATAATGATAGCAGGTGCCGAAGAATCACCAAGAAGAAGGGATGTGTGCAATGCCCCCAGTTTGTGCTCCCTTCATTGCAGTTTGGAGGAAGCGGTGTAGTGGTCTGGGCTGGGATTTACAATGGAGGACTAAGTGGAGTTTATATTGTTGAAGGCAACCTCACTGCAGTGAGTTTTATCCAAGGAATTATCAAGGGGTACATCCCTCAAACCAGAGATATTAGATTTCTAGATGGCAATGCCAGACCTCTTAGAGGCAGAGTTGTTCATCACTGGTTAGAAAACCTGGGATTTTCCCATCTGCCACTTCCCCCATTGACTTTAGACCTCAATCCCATTGAGCACATGTGGGATGCGTTGCAGAGAAGGCTTTTGGCTGCAGCCAGTTCACTTGCAACAACTAAGTGCAACATTCAACATCTATGCAGTGATGGCTTATGCCGTATTTACACATTCGCATGAACAGCGAGTTGAGTGGTGAGGCGAATGTGTAGATGGTCCTGCCATCATTCGTCTTGTGCCTCGCTTCGCCAATCTCAGCGCTCGTTCTGAAAGCATTTTTCTGGGGATGAGTCAAAGGCCCATAGAGACAGGGCGAACTCAGTGATAGATATAATTGAATTTGAAATCTTGCACAAATAATGAAGACTTCTGTAGACACCACCCGTAGCTAAAAATCTCAAAGCTACGGCTAAGCTGGTATCGGCATTCTTCATTTAGTTTTTCTTTTAATGATTAGCGGTTCAATTTTGCACAATATGTAGTCAAAATCAATTGGCGACTTTCTGTAAGAGTTTGCAAGTTCTCTACAGTCCTCATAGAGCATTTCATGTTTTCAATACTTGGTTCTGTTGCGATGACATGGTATCATCCACCATCGCCTTCAGCGACGTCTTTTATTTTCTCCAATTAGTCATAAATACCTATCAACATATAACAAATGCACTACGGCTGCCAATAAAACTTCCACGTCGACCATTCACCCCCCCCTCGATGAACTGAACAGTTGGCGAGTGTGTAAACGGCCACTCGTGCTGTGGGGAACAAACATGCGAATACATCTCGCAAAGGTAGCTAGTGACAAGGCAAGCCACGAGCGCGAATATGTTAATGCGGCATTATGAAATTAGTGTTGTACCGTACCTTGTTAACAGAATGCCTAACAGGTGCACAAAAGGTTTTAGCTAACAAAGGATATTAATACAGTATTAATTGTTATAAAAAAGTATTGTACCCAGTAAAAATAATTATGAACTTCGTTAATTATTTTATTTTTCTATATCCTATAATTCAATTTTCCTTCAGTAATTTTAAGGCAATTTATAATAAAAATGCTGAGGTTATCCTTAATTGAAAAAATTATGGCTGATGTAATTTTAATAGAAGAGAACATTTTTTCTGTTTTAAATTTTGTTTCTCGGGACTTGAATCTCCTGGCCGAAATAATGTTAAATAATTTGTAAATATCGGGTCGAACGAGTTTTTTTAAAATTGAAAATAGTCAAAAATAAGCCGTTTTGACGGAAATGTTAATCCTCGGACATTAGTTTTTATGTTGGGATTCGGCCAGGAGGTTCCGGCCACGCGTGCGACACTTCGTTTAATAAACCGGACTTACGAGCTTGTCCAGATCCTGCGTCGAGAGCTTCGGCTGGCCGGGGTTCGCGCTTCCCGTTTTTCCACTCGACATCTCGTCAAAATAAATTAAATTCGACCGGTTCGAAAAAACGAAAACTTTCCGGAATGAAACAAATTCAACCGAGGCACAAGTAACCTAAGGAAACTCACAGTAAAAGGAACCTGCTATTTGCAGGGTCTGTCCGGTCGATCCACGGCCTCTCCGATCCAAGCTAGGGCGAGTCGATGAAGTATTTCCCCTTGTCTCTTCTCTCCTGTTATTTTAATTCCAAATATAATTATTTGGAGGGCCTTAATCGTTTTTTTTTGTTGAACGAGAAAGCAGTTTTCCTTTAAAATCCAACAACTACTTCTGAAAAACCGCCTTTCTCCCGCCGGGAGGTTACCTCCAGTCGACCCAGGCCCAAGTTTTCTGTAAGAAAAACATTGGTCAGTTATTTATTACCTAACAACCGCACATTATAAAGAAAACCAATACAAATAAAATTTTATTTATTAAAAATCTAAAATATCTTTCATAACATAAAAGGAACAAAAAACATGTTAGTAAATAACCCTAATCAGAATCTAACTTTTTTAATAATTACACATTTATCAATAAATAACCATTAAAATTAAACTGATTTCAATAAATATGATTTCAATAAATATGATTCATTTTCTTAATGCACATAAAGCCGAATATCAAAATACTATAAATAACCGAATCAAGGAAAAACCGGCGCCTTAAAAGTGAAAGGCGTAGACGAAAAACGAACATCCGGATTTATTTACAGACTTACCTATTATCGTTAGAGTCCTTTATTTACGTAATTTATGAATCGTCGAATACTTCATAGGACGGGACAACTCAGTCCTTGAGCCTTATCCTCGGCTGAGTCTTAAGGATGCGGAAAACAGTCTCAGGGCAAAATAACGTTCGGCTTAGCCGGTTAGGTATCGATTCTAAATGGTCGACAACGGACAACTTGAAAACGAGTTGGGCAAAGTCGTTCCTATTGTGGAATAGTTCGTTGTACTGAACTAGTTCAAACGAACTAGGTTTATAACGAACTATTTAATTGAAATGTTCATTTAAGGTTGTTTTACTTCTATTTCAACCTTTTGCAAATATATTTAAACTTTTATCATTTATTATTCAAATTTTTCATTTTGATTTAAATTTTTTCATTTAACACAATTTTAAACTTACCATTTATAATTCAGCTTTTCCATTTTAATTTAAATTTTTCCATGTAATACAATTTCAAACTTTTATCATTCATTAAACAGCTTTTTCCATTTTAATTTAATTTTTTTCATTTAATACATTTTTAAACTTTCCGTTTAATATTCAACTTTTCCATTTTAATTTAAATTTTTTCATTTATTAATACAATTTTCAACATTTACCATTCATTGTACAAATTTTTCCATTTGATACAATTTTAAAGTTTTATCATTCATTATACTTTTTCCATTTTAATTTAAATTTTTCCATATAATACAGTTTTAAACTATTAGCATTCATTATACAACTTTGTCCATTTTAATTTAAACTTTTTCCATTTAATATTTAAAATTCTCCATTTTCATTTATACAATCATGGAATATTCAAATGTATCCATTTTTAATATGGGCTTTTCCATTTATTATTAAACTTTTCTTGTTTTAATTTACTTTTCAATTTTTTATTCTACTTTTACCATTTTAATCTAAACTTTTCCATTTAATAATAAAATATAGCTTTTTTACTTTTATTTAATCTTTTGTCAAATAAATTTAAATTTATTACAAACACATTTTAACTGCTTCTATTTTAATTTGAACTTTTCCATTAAACATTAAACTTTTTTTTATCTTAATTTCCATTTTTTCATTTATTATTAAGTGTTTCCTTTATGTGTGGTGATTAGTGACAATACATTTCAAAAGGAACATTTTAAATATAGAAATCAACACAAGCATCAAAAACATAGTACCTACAGACATTTTAACAAAATTATACATACATCAAAAAGATGCATACAATGTCCACTTTGACCAAATTAAAAACAAACACATCAAAAAATTGAACAACGTAATCAACAAACAAACACCTGTTAACACAAACAAATGGTTCCTAAACCAACAAAAACTAACATTCTTCCAGAAATTCAGAACTTCCCACCACTTGGTCCTAAACATTCCATTCCTTACAACAAAACAGATTTTCCAACAGCTAAAATAATTACTGATGTAGACTATGCATTCCAAAAGTCCACAAAAACAGAGGACAAAAAGACATAACACGATCAAAATTCATTAACAAACCACTTACAACACCTCACCTCAAATCAACACAACATATCTCAACAAACATACACCAAAACCAAAAATTTTCTCAAAAATAATTCTGACATACTCATTCTTTCTGCTGATAAAACAAAACAAACAGTAGCAATCAGCAGAAAAGAGTACAGGGAAAAAATTAACAAAATTATCAACGACACAAACACATACAGCACAATCAAATCAGACCCTACCCCTTTTCTCATCAAACGGACAAACAAAATTCTCCAAGAAAAAAAACAAACATTTCCCTTTATGCTTAAATTAAATTTAAAAAATATTTATTTTTACAATGATGTTTATAATTATTTCTTAAAATGGACAGTTTAATATTAAATGGAAAAAGTTGAATGTTAAATTGGAAAGGTTTAAATTAAAATGACAAAAACCTACAACTACCTGGAAACCTTTTTCATTTTAATATGGTTTTCCACTTTTTTCCCTTTATTAATGGAAAATTAGAAATTAAAATGTAAAAAGTCGAATATTTAATGGAAGGAGAAAATTGAAATGGAAAAAGGTTAAATACATGTTAAAAGTTGAATATTTAATGGAAAAATTTAAGTTAAAATGGAAACAGGTTAAATGTACTTACTAAAGATTGAATTGAAAGTAAAAAAGCTTTATATTTATGGCTGCATATATTTAAATACACAAACTTTTTCCATTTTAGCTTCAAATTTTACAGTTAATATTAAAGTTTTTCTGCTTTAAGCTGTATAATGTAATAAGCATTGAATCTGTTTATTCTAAAGAATAAAAAGAATGACTGGGCAGTATAGTTCTTTTTCGGGAATAGTTCTTTGAAGTTGTTCGTTCATGAACATCATATCTCTATTGAAGTACATTCTTTATATTAAAAGAAAAACTAATACCTAGATTTCTGAAAAACAGACTTTTTTTAAACAATAATTCTTCAATGAAAGCGTATAGTTTTACAAATATTTTATTTATGATTTTTATGAATCGATTTCGTCCATCCGTCGATGGCCGTCACTGTGATAAGGTAAAAAGTAAAAAAAAATGTCGTTGATCCGTCAAACTCATGTAGATTGTAGGGGTTCAGTGCTCCTCGATCCTCATTCGGTGCTCATCCTCATTTCTCACACCGGGCCCGTTGAGCTTTCTCTTCGCAGACGTCGAAAATGGCCCTGAGGTGCCTCATGATGAACTTTAGGAGGAACGCTACGTTTTACAGGGAGTTCTCGTCTGAGAAGAAAGAGTGAGGATTTCTTTTTCTTTTAATTTCAGCTTTAGTCGATAAAAAGTAACACAGTTGTGTTTTTTTTTTTTCAAGCAACATATCCTTAATAAAAACTAGCACAATTATACTGATTGAATTTATAGGATTTTTATCATTTATGATTCAATGATTGGTTGCTACAGGTTTTTTCAGGATTTAGGATTGAAGAAGGTTTCAGTATTCTAATAAAGAAGCACTTTTTTCATCTTATATTGGAAAGACCAAGCAATTAAAATGGTATACAATTCTTTACAATTGATTATACGATAAATATAAAAGTGGTCTTAAAAGTCTGAAAAAAAAATTTGTAAAAATTGTAGATTTAACTAAAAATCTACCATTTGCACACTATTAAGTTTTCCTCTAGCAGTCTGTGGAGTGATGAACCTAATTTGATCCTTATTGATCCTATTGGAATATCTATCCTCGCTGAGTTGTTCTGTCAGACGACTATGTAGTCTTCTCGGTCCATCATAGATACACTGAAGATGATGAAAAGCTGAAACGCATCTGATAGACCAACCCAAGATTGGAGCGAGCCAGTGGAGGAGGGCTAGTGACTGGGATGCCCGGCAAATTTTGTTAAGAGACAAAGCTGCTCGTGCTGAAAAGTTAAATTCTCCTAGATATTTCCAAAGTAGATCCTTTCATTTAATAAAGCGACCTGTCACAGACCAACACAGTGACTGCCTAGACCAGGATGATCATTATTACCCTACAGATAAACCAGCCAATTTTTAAAAGAATTTACCATGTTCTTATGTGGAGATAGGCGCATCCTGTAGTGGAGGGACGCTTCCAGTGAATCCAAGATGTCTGCTGGACCCCTAGGTTTCTCGGTTGTTAATTGAGTTGTGGTCGACTTGTTAACACTTTTTACAAGATGGTGCATGCAATGTCAATCATCCATACACTTGCATAAAGTCCGGGATCAATTTACAATCTATAGAGCCCAGCGTATCCCAGAAGCTTTCCTGCAATGAACTCCGTTCTTATGCTATAAATCTGTGCTGTGAAATTGTCTAGTTTTAAGATGTGTTTTATTACAGTACACATTGTATATTATACTTTTACCATTTATATTATTATTGCTAATCCAATAAATCAAGAAGTTATAATAGAAAATTCCAAGAAATAATAGAAATAGCAAACTACTTTAATAATAATTTTTTTCCAGTGTTAGTCCAAATATAAAAGATAGCATGATTTCTAAATCAACTCACCTAAAATCAAATATTTTAAACAATAGACTATCTTGTTCAACCTCTTCTATATTAAAATTTTCTTGGCTTAAACCAATATTCTAGGAAGAACTTTTATGTTTGTTAAATTGATTAAAAGATAAAACACTTTTGAGTATGATTTATCAGATTCTGTATAAAAAAATTTCTTCCATGATATGTCTTTCTCTATTTTGTATTTAAAATTTAACTTTTAAAGTGAATTTCAATTCCCCCCACTGAATTTTATAAAAACTATAGTTATCCTGTTGATGCAAATAAATTACAGGCCTTTTTTCCCTTACACTATCATTTAGTAAAATTTTGGAAAAACTTAAAAAATTGTTGATTTTATTTCTAACAACAAAATAACTGCTCCACACCAATTTGGATTTCAGTCGTGTAAATCTGCAGGAGATGGTCTTTTTGAGGCCCCTGATTTTAATCACAAGTTCTTGACAATAAAAGTAAATTGATAGGATTATTCTTGGATTCTCAAAGTCTTTTGATGCTGTAGACCATGCAGTTTTGCTTGAAAAACATTCAATATTATTATCAAAGAATCAGTTTATAATTTCATTATATCATATTTTTTAATAAATAGGACCCAAAAAACGAAAATAAGCCAAACTTTTAGCCTCCTCATTTATATTAATTGTGATGTTTTACAAGGAAGTGCTAATTTATATTAACAATTTTCTTCAAATAACACTTTCTGGTACTCTCTGACTCTTCTTCCATTTTTAAATTTTGAAAGCTGCTATTCTACGCTGTCACACACAACATCAGAAAGAATGTTGAGAGTGGCCTTATTTATAAGTTTGCATTTAAAAACTTATGAGGTAATTCATGGCTTGTATATATTTATTGTTGTATTTTGAAAGTAACATATACCATGCTTAGCTATATTCAAGTTCAGTAAAAGGGATAAATGAGATGGCTTAAAGCGCTGAACCCTTCAGTGAAGTTCTGAGGAAATGATATTTTTAAATGAAGACAAGATAGTGACTCCCAGAAAAGCTTCCTTAAAGGTGGGCCAATGAGTACATGGGCACATTTTTTGGGAGATAGTTAAAATGTGATCGAGATGTTGCGCAGCGGTAGGTTGTTAATCCTTTGAGCCATGTGTGTTTGTTTTAAAAGTGGTATCTGGGGTTGAAAAGTCAAGAGCTTCATAATATATTTTCCTTGTATAACTCATTTTATTCAAGTTCGAAGTATCTTTTTTTGTTCGATTTTCCATAATGCTTCCGAGAGCTTTTCCATACATTTCTCAAATGTATTGTCAAGGCAGTAAATACGCGCAGTAAAATTCGAAATTTCTTCTTCAGGGTCTTTCTTGAAACCCAAATCTCTTTAATGTAATCAGAAAGCCCCTCAACTTTGTCAGTACACTCTTCGAATCTGTCTCTCGCTTCTTCACAGAGATTGTTGTGATTGTTGATGTTATGGAAAAAAAAGAAGAAAAATAAATGAAGTGCAATAAATTACAATCCGGTCCAGAGAAAATAACCCAATGTAATTGATAATTATTGGTAATTAATTGGTAATTTTTACCAGCAGTCTATCAATACTCCAAAATAATGAAGAATGGGAAGTTTCCAATCCTTACAATGGTTAAACACTTACCAATTCACAATCCTTGTTAATCAATAACAAGTCAATAAGTGCATGAGTTTAAATAAATAACAATAATGTGATGCTTTGAAATTAATTATAATTAACTAAGTCTAGAACAAATCAAAATTAAAAAAGTATACAAAGCAAATATGGATAAACAAAAAGGGTGTTGAAAAATAAGTAGACATGATAAATAAATAAACATTTAGTGGTAGTGGTAGTGAGGAGCGGTCAGGATTTCATAAAAGTATTTCAGAAAAACACCTTTTTTATTTTTTAATTGCCAACGTTCCTATGTTTTGACCTTTATTTGAGTCAGCTTCATGGCTTGGTAAAGTACAAACATACGTTGATTGTTAAAATTGTGTAATAATTTACAAAAAAAAAGTAAATGTTTATGTTAATATAAAGTTGAATTTAAGTTTATCGAAACACATTTGACAGACCAACTGGGGAGGAGAATAGGAAGATAAAAATGATTGGTAACAACCAAATTACATGTTCAGACCTCACAGAGAAATCTCACAAAAATAATACACACAAAGTACTAGACCAATTATCTTCTTGTTAATCAATATTTAATTTAATATTTTATATTTTAATGAAAATTGGACTTAAGTATATATGTGCTGCTATTTTTTCATGAAACATCATTTACTTTCTTTGTGTTCTATTTTAAATCCTTTAGATTTAATTTGGTAAGTTTATTTTTGTAATATCAAGAATTTCTTATCAAATTATTCAGATTCTTATCCCTCTTTTTATATTCTTTTATCTTGGAAGTACATTATCTGGAGGAAAGAAATGTTTTTTATTATTATTTTTTAATGAGAGTTCGTAACAGCAGAGGTCATATCAACCCTCGGGTATTGGTGTTTTTGTAAAAAGAAGTCCATTTGTAAGCATGTCAGGTTTAAAAACGAGGCTGTTGGATTCAAACCTGGGATCTTTACCTTACAATGATAAGTACCGTGCAAACGCCTTAACTGATACGGCCACCGATGCCCCTGGAAAAAAACATTAACAATTTTTGTTCTTCTTTTGTACGGGAAAATAGTTCTTAAAACCAAAAGATTTTTTAAAAGAATATTTGGCAGTTAGTAGCTAAGTAAGGCTAACTGTTGTTAGCAATGTTTAAAATTATCGCCTCTATTGCCTTTCAACACGTGTAACACTTTAATGACCCATTAACTCTAACTAATGACAGTTGAAAAAAAAGGTTGATTTTCCTGATGCAAACTAAAATTGCTTCTTTTCTTCTAGGTATCACGTAACGTTTGTGTCAAAGGATGGCACCAAGATCAAAGGGAAAGGGAAAGAAGGGGACAGTTTATTGGACGTTGTTGTGAACAATGATTTAGACTTCGACGGATTTGGTAAGTCACAATCTTCACCGATTTAAAGAACAATTCATTTACAAGAGATTTAAGGTGCTTGTGAAGGAACATTGACCTGTTCAACGTGCCATGTGATTCTCAAAAAAGAAGATTATGACAAACTGCCTTGCAAACCATCGGAAGAGGAAAACGATATGCTAGACCTTGCTTTTGGTTTGACAGACACGTATGTTTTATTTGATGATTTTTTAACAAAATATTTTAATAATCATTAATGTTATTTTATTTCAGTTCTAGATTAGGATGTCAAATTGAATTGTCCAAGCAACTTGATGGTCTTGAGGTCCAACTCCCTGATAGTGTAAATGATGCTAGATCATAGTAGCAATTGGATAAAATTGAGATAATTGGATACCAAATATTTTTTAATAACATAGAATTTATCTGTAACAAATGACCACACTTTCTCGTGTATGTCAAGAATGTGATAACTACTTTTTTCATTCAAAATGTTTCTCAAAACTGTAAATAGTTAATTTAATTTGTTATTATTTAATAGATATTTATATCTCATTTTAATGTGGCTTCTTTTTACCCAGCATACCAGTAACCTTAAGTTGAAGAAAAAAGTGTGTGTGACAAAAGGAAACAAAACCAGTGAATAATACAAACACAATGTCCTTAATGCAGGATCAGGAGGTACTAATGGTTAGTGCACTTTAAAATCACAATAAATGTAATAAAATTATTGAATTTATGCCCTAGTTTCTTATAGTCAAAAATAGTACAAAAGAATTCAGTGTATGAGTAAGTATGCAGTGCTTATTAAGGGAGAGCTTTTTATTAAAGGACTAAAGAAGAATACTGAACAACTAATCTAACGTAATTAAATGTAAATTAATTAAATTCAGCTTATAATAAATTCAATAATGAGAGCAATTCAATTTATTAGAAAATATAGATATTGCGAGATTTCTCTGTGTGGTCGGTGGGACAATGGACCTGTTATTTGGTTATGAATCATTTTGGTATGCTTATCCTTGCTGGGTAGGTCTGACAGTAAAATGACCAGTAATGACGAAATTACAAAATAGATATGTAAACAAATCTCCCCCCCCCAAAAAAAAAAAAAAACGCTATACTTTATAACTATAAAATCAACTTTTAAAATAACACATACTTATGATTTACTCTTAAATAAATTCCAAATACATGGAAATAAAAAATGTAAACAGCTTTTAAAAGTTAGAACTGCCTTCATCAAACGTTTTCACTCTACTCTGAGAATTTATTTTATCAGGTTGAATCATACCAGCCCAATCAGAATTGTGTCAGCATTAAATTTGGTTCTTATATTTCATTATAGGCTGGAATCAAGTTTGAATAGATTGAACTACAAAAAACACTTCATCTGAGTTGTAGCGAATCATCATTTTTTGTTTTAAATATTTACTTTATTATTTTTGCTGAATCTTTATTTTGTTTGAAATTAACTCCCAATTTTTCGTGAAGTTCAAATGCTTAATGTTTAGCATTTGATAAATGTAAAAACAAAGATGTGAGTTCTCTTGTGTTGCATGACGAATCTGTAGTTTGGCCATTTTTATTCATTTTATTTTTTATACAGTTTATTGTAAATCACAAAAGCTGGAATTGCCAGTGGATTGTGAAAAGTGATAGGCTTTTTATGTATGAGTATTGTATACATACTTGCCAAAGAAGAGGCAGCCCTCTCACTAGTGGGACTGGAACTGCAACTAGGCACAAAGGAGAGAATTGGAGATGGAAAAATGGCCTGATAAAGAAAAAAACAAGCACTGGACAAAAGAGTCTAGCTAAGAGATTTATAAATCTTTCAAAAAGGAAGTAACTCCTTTCTCAGCAGGCAAGATTTGAGGAAAATAATAGGCCTCTATACTGGCTGTACTGACCCTCTTAACCGCCATCTAAAGAAAAAGGCAACTCTGTCAAGAGAAACCAGACATCGGTTGACCTTAGTGAATATGAGGCACTAGCCTGTATACAGTATAAACTACTTGATAAGGCAATTCTCACACCAAAATACGTGTTAAGAGGCACCACGATATTGCTGTTTCCACGGTATGGTCATAATCATAGGTTCCATAATAGATCTACGACTGTGGCCATTATTACTATATAATCAGTTACAGTAGAGAAAAAGTTATGTAGTTATATGTATGAGACCTTTCTGATATGAGACCAAAGTAGTATGCCAATATTGATGTTCTTATTTGAACGGTTTTTGCAAATTGCAAATAAGTTGCACCAAAACTGAAGAAAATGGTAGACAGTTTTAGGGGAGGGAATTTGAGATTTCATTTCACCATCAGAGCTGTATGTAAAACTGATTTGTGGCTATCACATTCTGATTCAACCTCAGAGAATAAATCTATAGTTCAAATTAATTGTTAAACGGTGGAGTAAAAAGTTCATAAAGTTAAAAAGTTACCTAAAATAATATAAAATTTTATACAAATAAACTTGAGCGCCATGTCAAAGCCTAAATCGTTGCGGCCACCGACTAGACCTAACCCATTTTTTAAAAACATAGGTGCTGATGATGGGTATTCCCGAACGCATAATTGTTTAAATAAGTAATGAATTTACTTAAAAAAAACAACCATGGAATTTTTTTAAAACAAAAAATTAAAAAAGACAAATTAGTCTTAAAAATTTCCTATAAAAAAAACTTCTTAAAATTATAAAACAAAACCCATAAGATTGGTCGTATTGGTCTTACATTTAAAAAAATGTAGCATTTGCTAAACGATTTTCCATAGAATCGAATGTACAGAGTACAATTTGAATTTTACAGTACAGTCAATCCTGTAAGGTGTATTACTTATTGATATTTTCTGATAACACAAGATTGTGTTTATGGAATTTATCGTACGCTTAATTTATTTGATGTTCTCCTTCGGGATCGACCATGTCCCAAGTCCGAACTCCGAACTGGATAAACTTGTTCAAAGCGAGAGCGGAAAGCATGTAACTAAATTTAACAGTCCTCTCTTCGTGTAACACGTGAGAAAATTTTACTTATTTTGAAAGGTGACAAAGCGTGGAATAAAAGAGAAAGTGATACACAGTTCAAAATTGAAACCATAGGGTGTTCAAACATCGAAACAAAGACTCAACCGGCCTTCCAAACGATCCATGGGAAAATTAACTGTACTTGAAAAAACTATACGGTTGGTTAGAAAGTGTTGTGACTTGTTTGTTGGATAAAATCTTTATTAATTTATTTTGACATTACTTGTTAATTGACAGTTAACAAGGAATATTTATTTTACTGATTGCTTTTTGCTACGTCTACAACATTTCGTTAAACCATCTTATCTTCTGACCAATTTGTTTGCGGTGGATGATCCAGCACAAATTCAACAAACTTGGCCTAATCACCGACGAAATGAGAAGTAGGACTTGCCATGGAAGAAAACTGATTACTTTTCTTGTCCCAAATCTAGGGGTTGCTAAAATCTGGCTTTCCTTCTAATTAAACACCTTGTAAAGGAGCACCATCAAACGCGTGGTCGGCATTTTATGAAAATCAATTAATCCACTACCAAACTACATTTACGGAAAATAATCTACTACCAAAATATATTCACGATAAACAAACCACTAGCAAAGTACATTTACGAAAAACAATCCACCACCGAACTACACGGTTACAAAAAACAACCCACTGCGAAACAGACCGTTTACGAAAAACAACCCACTACCAGACTACATTTACGAAAAACAATCTACATTCAAAGTGAATATTTAGGAAACATAATCGTCTGCCAAACAGACTTTACAAAAATAAATCAACTTCAACATAAATATTTTTGAAACAAACCACTACCAAACTACATTTACGGAAAACAATCTGCTACCGAACAGTTCAAAAACAACCCACTGCCAAACAGACCGTTTAGGAAAACAACCCACTACCAGACTACATTAACGAAAAACATTCTACTTTCAAAGTGAATATTTAGGAAACATAATCGTCAGCCAAACAGACCTTTTACAAAAATAAATCAACATCAAAATAAGTATTTTTGAAACAAACCACTACCAAACTACATTTACGAAAAACAATCTGCTACCGAACAATACAGTTACGAAAAACATCCCACTACCAGACTACATTTACGAAAAACAATCTACTTTCAAAGTGAATATTTAGAAAAAATATTCGTCTGCCAAAATACATGTTTATTTTATTTTTATGTTATGGGTCAAAAACCCATTTATTAAAACAAGGAAAAAGGAGAAAAAAGTAGAGCAAAATGCTTATAACTAATTCAACATTAATAAAGAATAAAACACTATACTATACACGAATGAAAAAGACAATAAAATTCTTATAAATAAAACAACATAAAGATTTAATTAAACAATCTGTCTATATAATTATAGTGACTAGGGATTATACAAAAAATATATAAAAATTATGTAATAAAGCATTATAACTACAATACATATATATAGTACATTTTTAGCTTTTTTAAAACTAAATAAAATTATTATGCTTTAAGTAACTGACGTATTAATGATGAAACATAAGTATTAAATAAATCAACTGTATTGCATATGTTATTACATGCTATCATCATGCGATAAATCGAGGACGAAAAACAATCCACTGCTAAACTACATTTACGAAGAACAATTTTCTGCCAAATTGAACATTTACGATAAAACCATCCACTGCCAAACTGACCAATTACGAATAACAATCCACTACCAAACTACCTTTTGCGAAAAGCCTTCCACCGCCACACTGACCATTTACGAAAAACAACCCACTACAAAACTACATTTAATAGTATAAAAAAATAACGATCGTCACGTTTTCAAAGTCAATTGCAAAAAGAAATGCCACTTCTGACCAGAGTAAAAAGACGAGCTATGCAATCCTTTTGTATGATACAGGGATATTTTCCAGGTGAATATCCCAAAACTTGTCACTAATATCACCATCGGTCACTATGTTCCGTCAAGATTGCTCTTATTTGACGATAAAATGAAATCAGGAGATATTGAATTTGTTTATTCAAAATTTACAAAAGAACACATTTGTACATTTAATGAAAAAGAGCCATGTAAGATCTAATGATCTAATAGTGTAAACAGTCTATTATAAAACAGTTTAAAACAAATATGTTTCATTAAGGATTTTTTGTAATAACATGTTTGCCTATTAGCTGTGCAATTGGCATGCCTCATGAATATGGATTTTTAGTGTAAGGACAAATTTTTAACATTAGTTTTTTTTAATAGTATTGTGCTAACCAACGAAATTATATTATTCCGGTTTATTAATTTTTTAACCAGTGAAATCAAATAATTTTCTCGGGTAAAAATGGGTTTGTTCACCGTATTCCCAAAGTGGACAAACCCAAGAATGATAGATCGCGTATCGCTTACAATCAAAGTCTGTGGTCTGAAGATCGGTAAACCAATATCAAGGGAAGATCGCTGTTGCTGCAAAAACCTTCTGCAATTCGAAATCATGAAGCGAATTATCAAGAAACATTCCAATTTTCCGCATGAGCTAATGAAGAACGTCGAGATAGTTGAGGTATTAACCAAAAATTTTTTATCGAATTTTAAGTATCGAGGTTGGAAGTTTAATTAAAATAAACACACAAATAACAATATATTTCCCAAAAGTTTCAACTGTAATTTTTTGGTATAATAAATAAAACAAGACATGGGGATTTCTTTAAGTGATGTGTAAAGTATTAGTAAACAAATTGATTGCCCTATGAATAAATTAAGTAACTCTGGTCCAAAAACTTTTATGACTACATTTTTATTTATATTTTACGCTTTATTGGAAGTGCATTTTTTGTGTGTTGGTCTTTTTAGCGTAAAGGAATAAATTATTTACAAACGGTCGTTTTGTAAGTACCTACATACCAATAGCACTCAGCCATCTAGAGGTTTCTAGCTAATAGCAAAATTATGGAACGTAAATTAGGAATTCGGAAAAGAGACAGCCCCATATAAAGCCTGGGAACTTCTCGAAGCGGAAATAGTCCTTTCGGGGTTACACAACAGCATACAAAATTAAAATCTAGCCCACCAATATCATTTACTAGAACTCTTCACCGTTATTTGGCGTTCCGAATTCCAGTAACTTGGGGACACAGGAGGATTCGACCTAAATATAATTTTTTTCCGGAAACGGACAAATGGTCTTTATTTACTCTCTCAGCTAAATTTACCTGTAGCAAATGGTTCGAAGTTTATTAAATTCAAGATTTCAATATTGCGAAAGTGCAACAAGTCAGTAATAATTTATCTCAACCAATACCTTACATAAAGATTAATTAATTGAAATAAATTGACAGAACTAACCTATACAGACAAGAATGAACAAAAAAGAAATTGCACTTCATCTAATTATCAAGCCCAAATGACAAATCTAACCTAAACAGACGACAAGAAACAAGAAATATGATTTTTCAGTTAAACTAGTTTGATATTCTGCAGTATATCAATATTAACTGACAGATCTAACCTACACAGATAAAAATGTATAGAATAAATTGCACTTCATCTGACATCAATTTCAAATGACAAATCTAACCTAAACCGACGACAAGAAATATGATTTTTCAGGTAATTAGTCTGATATTCTGCAGTATCCATTATATTTGATTTCGATCCACTCGGACACCAACTCCCCATCTTCGAGTCACGATAGCTCAAGTGGTTAGAGCAGCGGCGTATTGAGCCGAAGGTCATGGGTTCGAATCCCGCTCGAGATACTGACTTTTCAACCAATACCTTACATAAAGATTATTTAATTGAAGTTAGTAATAATAGATGAAATATATTAGTTAATTTATATTCTGCGAGAGAAAACCGTACTTATTTATTTTATTCATTGAAAAATGGCGAAAAGGAGGGAAAATTCAAAAGGTGTGGTTGAGATGGAAGGTTGGTGTCCGAGTGGATCGAGGTCACGATAGCTTAAGTGGTAGAGCAGCGGTGTTCCAAGCCGAAGATCGTGGGTTCGAATCCCGCTCGTGCCATTCACTTTTTTATCTCAACTGAAAACCTTAATTAAAGATTAATTAATTGAAAAGAAAGATTTTAATGCTGACTGAAAAGTTTGAACAACCTTCATCAATATATACAATTGTACTGTGAACTATACTTTGTCCCAGCTTAAAATACAAAAAGTAACCATAAGAAGCTGAAACCACCTGCTTCTACCAATTACCATTTTGAGTACTTAAGTATAATATGGTCAGCTAAATCGCTCAAAACGTTCATGATTGATAAGGTACATAGGAGGGAATTTAAATAGTTATTATTCAAAATGCATAAACATGCATATACTGAAAGACGGCCTTTGGTGGATTTCGATACCTTGGAAGTTAAAAGTACTTCGTTTTTGGCTTGGCTTTCCTGGAAGGCACTTAACAATAAAATTGATTTTCCAAAGATCTTGCCCGCAATAGGACAAATTATGGCACAGAATCTTTGGTATGCTACGGTACCTGAATCAATATGCAGAGAACTTGGCCACATTTTTTTATTACATGTCAACTTAAAAAAGTTTTATTAACTTTAAGTTAAATTATTAGGACTTTCTTCATTAGTGTCGCATTGAGGGTAAAATATATGATTTCAAAAGAAACTACCAATAGACAAATTAGAAAGTGCATTTCTTCAGTTTGGTGAATCATTACTTTTCAGACAGTCTACGGAAATATAATAGTAAAAATAAAAGGTTTAATATATAAAGTAACATTCCAAAGGTTTTTTTTGACAACCGTAGTAATGTAACTTTCTTTAATACTTTTGTCCTTACGAACTACAATCAGAAGGTCAACAACGGTGGCTTACTTACATCACTATTAACTGGTTTCACATCTAAATCTAAAGGCGAGGAACGTGGGCTTTTTTTCGACCAAGGTTTATAAATGGTCTGGCGTAAAACTGGTATTGCAATGTTTCTGAACCGTCCACGCATTAAGATTAACGTGGCCCAATTTTTATAAGAAATTGGAATAATATTTCCTTGGTTTTTTAAGCTAGTGAATTTTCAGAGGCACAGGTCAGAGTTGTTCGATCGAATAAAATAATAAATTTAAAGGACTGATCAGCTATTTTGAAATGGCAACTGTTTTAAAACTGAAAGGAACTCTTTCGCAAGTAGTTAGCGAAGAAAACCATAAAATATTAACTTAAATGTTAATTTGTTTTCAAGCCAGCCCATGCCGATTTCTTATATTGAGTTAAAATTTTACATCCGCGCTCGAATAATTTATCGCAAAATTTGTAGCGGACGCGTTTCTGCTGTGATCGTGGCTTGTCGAAAAAAGCACGCTTTCAACGCGATCTGCATTTCCGGGTCGACGAAATGGCGGATTTCGTCAGCAGTAAAGTTTTGAAATGTGAATCTTTACGGCCGTTTTGTCAAATGTGGGATGATAGGAGAAAACCGAAGGACTTGGCTCATTTCAATGGGCGACTCGTTGCAAAATAATTGACCTCGGCTCCGTAACTTTCAGTGACAGTGTCAATTTTCTCACAGTACATACACGTATTAAAAACCCTGAATAATTAATGACCTAATGTAATGCTACACGGAAAAAAATATACTCCGTTTTTTGGAATAGGTATGGATTTAATATTACTAGTTAAACTGACAGGCAATAAATTCCACCCAATTGTAATATAACTTGATTGGTATATATTAATCAAAGTTTCACATATTTTAACGATTGATAATTGAGTCTTTGGCTAAAAAATAAAAAAAAGTAAATTGCTAAGGATAATGAAAAAAAGACGGACATATAAACTTTGTTTTAATTTTGTTTTCGATTTTTAATTAACATTTCAATATCGTGTATTTCCTCCTCTTGCCTTAACGATATCTCGAAGACGCCTCGCCATACTTTTTACAAGTCTGGAAATGTCTGGAGGTTAGTCCATTCTTCACGAAGAGTCCTTTCAAGATTGTGGAGTTTATCAGGAAGTGATGGACGTTCTTTTGAGGTTATCCCATAAATCTTCGATGGGGTTCAAGTCTGAAGAACGGGCTGGCCAGGCTAAGACGCCTCGGTATACTTTCTACCTGTCTGGAAGAGTCTCTTTGCTGGAGGTTAGCCCATTCTTCACGAAGAGTCCTTTCAAGATCGTGGAGTGAATCAGGAAGTTGAGTACAGGGGGCTATCTCACGATTTTAAGCTAGTTTAACTACAAAAATTCACTTTGAGTATTCCCTTAAAAAGTTAGTGGAGAAGTATGGTTTATATACTCTAACTCATCTAAATCTGGACAATTGCACAGAGAATATTTTGCAGAGAGAATTTACATTATAAGAACGGGGGCGGAGGCTTCATTGTTAGACAGCTGGTCATACCATTGGTTTCACCCGGTGCAGATTTTTTAGCTCCTCTTTTTCTTTTTCTGTACTTCCCGTCCTCCCACAACTGGTCCAAAAATAACTCTCAGAATCTTCCTCTCCCTGCAGTTTAGCCTCGGTCTTCCATTTTTTCCACAGCGGTCATGGTCCAGGTCTCTGATCCATACAACAACAATGTTCTGATGATGTTTTATATATGGCGGCCTTTACTTTTCTGGATACATTTCTATTGCAAGCGAATGCTGACAAAACTATTTCCTGCTGCAAATCACGCATTTGATGTCCTGTCCCACTTCGTTCTTTTTATGTATCAAACTATCAACCCCAGATACTTAAACTCACTCACAGATTTGAAGTGGCTATCCCCAACCTGCAAGTCCCCTAACCTGAAGCCCGAACTCTGCCCCCCCCACTTTTAATTCTATATAGACTGATTTAAGCGCACCCGCACCCGCACCCGCTATGAGGGGTCATCATCACAAGTACTATAGTTATGTTTGAAAACATTCCTCCGAGATTTATTGTTATTTTTCTCAAGGCCAGAACGAAAACCGAGTTAAATAGAACTGGTGACAGCGGTTCCCCCTGTATCAAACCTATACCTACGAGGAATTCCTGCGATATCTCTTCTTACACCACCACTCTTGCCAAGGTATCACACAGTGTCATTCTCACTCTCTTACCTAATTACTTTACTGGTATTTGTAGCTCAACTAACCCTTTACTCAAGCCCTTTCGGGGTACTAATCCGTATGTCATCTTAAAATGCACATATAGCTGATGTAAACCCGCATTACGACATTCCCTAGAAAATCAGGTCACATTTTAACAATCCAGTATATAAAGTATACTTACCCTAGAACTGGAGAATTTCACTGCATAGTTTGATTACATTAGAACATAGAAGGAAGAGCTTGTAAAAATGGGCAAAACTTGCTGAAAAAATAGAAAGGCCAAAATTAGAACTTTATTTATGAATATAGACCAAAACTGAAATCTCATTTATAAATTATATAATTATTATAAAAATTAGACATATTTACTGCATTTTCGAAATAAAATTCAACGATTGGAAACTTCTGGTTCCTACTAGAAGTTTCCAAAGGTTAAACTTTATTCAGGGCTAAACCAATAAAAAAAGCTGACACCTGATCCTGTATGATTAATTTTAGTAGTATGCATTTACAATTAAATCCCTAAGAGTTTAAACGATTCACAATTTGATAATGATATGAAATTAATAAAACGGTATACTATAGTGGTTTTCCTCCTTTTTTCTAAGAATAGCCGGATGACTCTGGAAGACGGAAATTGCCGGTGCATCCCCGGCCAGCAAGTGTCTTCGTGAAGGTTAAGACCCGTTAGTTGATTGGCTCGAAGATGTAGGTCATCGGGTTAGCTGGAGGGCGGCTCTCTTCGAATCCGCCAGTCGACGCTTAACTCTGTCGAAGAACGCATGTGCCTTTCACCAGCTCAACATGAAATGGGATTTATTTTTTCTACTCCTCATGAGTGAGTTATTTTATTATATTAAACAGTGTGTTGGGTTCAATAGCATAACATGAAAACGGGCCTTGTTCGGTTTTTTTGTGTATATAAATTTTTCATTTTTTTCTTATCTTTCTAATTTAATTTTTAGTTAAAAATATAAGTAATAACTCTATGGGCTTGATTTTTTATGGCTCGAAGAAACACTTTTTTTATTTTTAAACGTCGCTTTCAATCAGTTTCAACCATAAAAATTCGTTTTTTGAAACGTCCGACTTCTAGAATGAATCAATTCGTATAGGGCAAGTGCAAAAGCTTTTCATACACTTCCGACGACTCGGTTGAGGCCGATAGACGACCCAGCTACCAGCTGGACAACTCTCTCCCGGATCCGGCCAGTTTACCAATTTTACATTTTTCCGTTTTCCACTATTTGACTTGGCAAACCTTTCGAAACTGAATGCTGGAACTGATTTCGGCATAATTCCCACTGGTCGTCATACCGGTTTACGACTATGTCCATTTGACGTTTCCTCGGTAAAAACGAGAATCCATCACGTCTTCAGTAGAAAAAAAAATACAAAACCAAAAATGTTTATTTATTACAACCATAAAGTTCCTTTAAAATAATAACAATAATATTAATTATAATACATACCAAATATGAACTAGGTTCAAATGTATTATTTTCTTGCCAGAAGAAAAAAATGCCCATTGCCAGGACGATTGGCAGGACTAATTTGCTAAATTTACTACGACGACTAACTGGAGCCGAAATTTGAAAAGTCAGAAAATAAAAAAAATTACTCATATGTGCATAATTAATACGTAGAAACAAAACTGATTATCATATAACTGATTTAGACTGCAGATCACATAAAAAATTATATTAACTTTGAACATTATTATTTGATCCATATCGCCTAGTATCATATAAAATTTAATTTTATTTAAAAAATGTCAACTTTAAATTACTTCGACCTGTATAACATTTCGCTTTGTTGATCTGATTTGACATCACGTTTTGATGAACTGGATTAACAGAAAAATTTTTTGTGGCGACTTTTGTGTTTTGTTACTACATTTTTTAAAATCGATAGGTCCATGTTTATTACATGATGTTTGAAGTCATTTTAGAAATAATTATAATTTTTACTTATTCTTTCTCTTTCTTTTTCTGTAAAACGTAGGTATAAATATATATACAATTATTATTATTACTAATGTATATTACTATTTCTTTCAAAGTTGGATTGTTTACATAGATATAGACCGCCACATTTCTTTGTTTTTATTGTAAGAAGAAAATTCTTGGAGATTAGTTTCTATCCTTTTGATTGATTCTAACTATACTTGCCTTAAAAATTCACGAAAAAAAAACTATATTTTTATTTAATATTTATTAATTGGATAAAAATTGTAGGATACATTGCTCGTGCACAGAAAAACACAGACACACACAAAGAGATTCGATAAAAAATCAGGGATAAGGCAAATTTGTAACAAAGAAAAACACTCAGTTCCTTGAAACTTTTGGATGATTATCCCCCTTTATCAGAACTTAGTAGCTATTTCTATTTACGGTATATACGGTTAAAAAATATATTTTTTTTGCGGAAAATTATGGCTTCTACCATAATGAATTTATGAGTTTAGTTTACAAAGCAAAGCTACGGAAATGGGATCATCGATTTTATTAATGAAACATTCTTTGGTGATTCTTGGTCGAAAAATATTATATACATGTCCGAGCGTTTTAGCCAATGGGTACTGGAAGGGAAGAAAAAAATATTTTAATTAATTTACATAGTTTTTAAAATATGTTTTTCTGCCTTTGTTGTATATATATTTCAGTGTTATTATGTATAATTGGATTTATTTATTTATTTTTTTAATCAAGGAAGAAAATATTCTGCAAGATATGAAAAGTTACAAAAACAAAAGTGCGTTTCCAGTAAAGTAGCAACACTCCATTATTCGGGGTTCGATTATCCTGGAATGCAATTATCCGGGTCCCAGGTCTCCATATATTTGTACTATGTATACACTTTGTATACACCGGTATATATTCCGTGTAAAAACAAATCACTATGATTCGGACTATAGACTTTAGTATCGCTGTGTCAACGTTACTGTGCAGTCTGTTTGGAAAAATATTTTCAATTTTTTGAAAAAAAAAAAGCTTAATCAAAACTTATTCCGTTAGGTACATATTAATAAAAGTAGTATACACGTGTATTATTAAATAACCTTTTGATTAACTAATTAAAAAAATAAATTCTATTATCCAAGGTTTTTGATGTTTCCATGGACCGACCCCCTTCACCCAAATAATGTGGGTTTTACTTGATCAAAAAATTTTGTTTTTGAAAAAAAAAAAAAAACAGATTTGTTTGGAGCACCCTTGAAAGCCAAAAAATACAAAATTTTATGGTAAACAAAAAATATAACTTTTTTTGCTAGATAAACTGTTCGATGTGTCACGTTAACTTTTCCGGTGTTCTGTTGTTTCATTAATTTAATTTGGATAACTCCTCTGGATTTTATTTGTCAAAATTAATTGTACTTGTTATATAAGGTTTTATAAGTTTTATAAGTTGTAGAATAAGACCTTAGATCTTAGATAAAAAGTGTAAACAATTAAAACAGTTAATTAATTATTGACTACTATGACTACTAAATACATATATGGGTTCAGCTTATGTCAACAATATTAAAGAACATAAAGGGTGGTACAATCATATCAAGATAATTTTAAAACCACATGCTAAGGAGTAATCATTATAGAGGTAACATAATACAAGTAGTAAGAGTAGACACTCAGATAAATAGCATTACGTGTTAAATAAATAGAAATTGCAACTAAAGAAAAAGTGACCAATATTAACAGATTATGGTTTGATGTTTAAAAGATTTAAACTAAAGTTTACTTAAAAACAAAACAGACAGAAAAGGTAAAAAACAAATTTGCACAGGATTCACTTTTTCGCTTTGTACAATTAATAATTTATATTTATTATGATTAAAGTATACTTGAAAGTTAATGATAAAACGTCGACATGAAAATTACAGAAAATCAAAGATTAAATACATATTTTAAAAATAAATTAATAAAATTAAGAATTGGCATGGTGATTTGCATGATGCTGATGTAGCCAAGTGATTCTTGTTAATTGTCACAAATCGTTCATTGTTAGAATATTCACAGGTCAGTTTTCCTTCCCAAGATTAACGTTTATTAATTTGTAATATAAAATGTTAACTTGCAAGCATCTGGTATAAACGAATAATATCTCAAGAGAAGAAATAGTCGTAATAAAGTATCAAAACCATGATTTAAATTTTATTCAAATTTAAGAGAAATAAAATAATGGGAAATGGTAAACTATTGTATTTTGCAAAAGATCCGCCTAATTAATAATTTATATGAATATAAACGATAAGAATTTTGACAGGAAAATACATTTATTTGATCGTTTTGTATATAAAGGTTTTAAACATAAATAAATAAAATTGAGATTTAAGATCAAATGCAATATATGCAGTAAGTTAATATACTCAGGGTTTTTCTTTACAAGCTTAATAAAAACCTATCGATAAAAATAATAATTAATTGGAATAATTAATATGGTCGATTATGACCACTAAGCAAATATGGATTAATTAAATAATTAATAAATAATCTTAAGTTCATCATTGTGGGTAAAAATATTTGAATATTTTAAAAATTTCTACTTCAGTTAGCTCATTTTTAAATTGTTCAGTGTTGCTAAGATTAACTTAACCAGTTGCTAAATAGTGTGGTATGTATGTCAAATATTTTATTTAATGCCCGTTTACTCACATTTCATTTGTAAATAAAACGTGTTTTTCTTTAGCAGCCAACTCGTTTCTTTTTACGTTTTGGCCAAAAAAACATTTTACAGGATTTTTGGATCAATGGTGACATTTAAAACGGGCATTAGTGATGATGGCGACATATCACACGTACTTGATACCGATCTAATACTAGTAGAATTCGAAAGTGAAACGGTTCCAAAAGCCTTTCTTTATCCCAGATTTGACTCACGAATAGTTTGCACGGACTTTCGCTGTGGTCTCCGCGTAAAAACAGACGCGCTGCCTGGACCTGGTGTATTTTTTACCTCCAGCCTTTTCACCCGGGTTCGGAAAGAGCAAGGTTGACCTACACGAAAACCAAGGTGTTCGTCCTGTAACAGGTTGAACCAATGTCAATTGGGAGAAAACAGCAGACTTTCTTTTGTGATATCAACAAATAGCGCATCATTTCAGAATCAATAGAGCCATTGCAATCCTGTTGATATTCAAGAAATGTTACATAGGAAATTCCTTAGGTTTATGATTTTTCGGTTTATCTGCACCTGAACCATTTCCCTCTTTCTTGAGTTGATGGCATAATTCCCCATTCACGCTTTAAACGTAAATACTAATACCAGCTATCATATCGGAATGTAAATCTACCGTTTAAAGATAGTTTACTATTGGCCAACAAAGAACCGCTAATGGATCGTTCATTTAGAAAGCGTGTCTTGCAACAAACGAGCACGGTTAAATTTGTTTATTGAGTTAATTACGAACGTATGACGATGATTGTTATAATCCTTTGCAATTACGAACAATTGCAAAACCTATTTTCAGTTCTCACGAACCAACAACGAAACCGAGTTGGTTCAAAAATTTTAGCATGTATGACAATAAATAAAACAAAACTTACAGTGTATGTTTTCCCTGAAGGTTTTTTGTCAAGGGATTGCGCTTATACGGAATTATCGCTTGTTAATTTTGCATTCTTTAAAGCTTTAAAATATTTTAATGAAAGCCATATTGTCTTGCTTACTGTCAAATTCTTGTGTTGCAAAAGGTAATTCTACGTTACACAAGAGGAAACTTTGACCCAATAATTGAAACGCCTCGGTTTCTTGTTAGTTTTTGCTTGTGTAGGTTAAATTGGTCAATTATGATTGATCTACCGAAAAAATAATAGACTAGTCAGCTGAGTAATT